CTGGCAGTTCTCCATTAAAGATTTTCATTGCAAACCTTCTTTTACTGTAAAAGTGAATTGAGATAAATATAGTTATTAACTTAATATTGTTAAAAAAAATAATTAACTAATTAATTATGAGAAAGATTTAAAAATAAATAAGATAAATAGTTTTTGATGACGAATTTTCATTTAATAAAGAATTATTGTATTAATAATTGAATCAAACAACAACAACAACTCCAACAAATTATAAAACACATCCACAAGCAATTCATATCAATAAACTTCTCAATTTTTCAAATCTCCCAAAACCTATAAATGAAGAAAATTTGAAAAAAAAAATTTGAAGAATTAACAGAACGTTTTCAAATAAATGTTAGTAAGCATCAATTCTATTTTATTTTTCATCCCATAATTATTTATTTATATTTTTTTTATTTATTTTTGATTAATTAGGCGATAATGATGATAATTTGGATATGACATTTACTATAAAACACTAAATATAGAGTAATTAAATTGATATATTTTATTTTTATAACTAGTAAACAAGTTATTTAATGATTATAGTTTTAAAAGACGTTACATTATTGTTATTAGAAATACAATAATCACGTGTGTGAAAGAATTCTTATTTGCAAAATCATCATTGATCCTAGGCCTTTGCTCCAGACGGACAATTACAATGTATTTTGTTAATAAATAATTATCAACTAAGTTTATTTTAATTTATTTAATTTATTTTTAATGCCGAGCCGATGAAACATTAGCATTATAACAAATCTACTTAAGAAAAGGAAATATTTAATAATTATTTTATTAATCCTTCGATTTATACAAAAAAAGATTATTATAATTATCGTAGTAAAGTGTGAGTTATATTTATAATATGTTTACTCATCGATTCGGAAAATTTAGAATTTTTTTTTTGTTTTTATACAAAAACTTATTTAATGACTTGAAATTTAATTTATGATGCGCTATTTGATAAATATAATTAAGAAATATCACACGCACAAATATCATTTATAAAAAATAATTGTTTTTTTCGTAAATATAAAAATTCATCCATATCTATTCCGATACAAATTTATTTTTCTTTTTTTAATTAAAAAAATAAAATTCTATCTTATATACTATAAGTGAACAGAAAATGTCTAGAGTATGACCAGAATGCAATCAAGAATGAGGATACGATGATAATTGGTGCAGACCCGACACATTTTAAATGATTTTGATAAATGGACAAGCGGAAGTGCTACAATAGATAAATTTATTCAAGATACTCAACTAAATTCTGATTATCATATATTACTAGAATGGATACCTTATGATAGTTTTCAAGATATTAAACAAATAGCAAAAGGTGGTTATGGTGCTATTTATTATGCTATGTGGGTTGATGGATTTATTTGTGGCTGGGATGTTGAAAATCAACAATGGAAGTGGTATTTATTTGATAATATATAATATATTAATTATAATTAAAAAAAATATGTTATTTAGATGGTAATTCACTTGAGAACAAAAGATGATAGAATCTCATCATTTTTATTTTTTTTGGAATTACAAAAGATCCATCAACTCACGAATATATGATAGTTTTAGAATATTATAGAGGCAGAAATCTTAGAAATTATTTAAATAATAATTTTAATAATTTCAATTGGAGGAATAAATTAGACCATTTAAACAATTTAGCTAATGATTTTAAACATATTCATAAATTAGATATAGTTCATCATTTTCATCCTGGAAATATTTTAAAAATAGTTGAAGTATTAAGTGAGGAAGGCCGCAGATCTTTATTCATTTGCATTTGTAGCTTATGAAATCATCACTGGACTTAAGAGTTGGCTTTTAATATATGTAATGGATTTCGACCAAAAATTCCATTTCACACACCTAAATTAATTACACAAATAATTATGTGATGTTGGGATGTCTGACCCACTTTTGATGAATTATATAAAGAGTTGAACAAATGCTATCAGGGTTATAAGAAAAATGATTTTGACAATAATAATGAAATTACAATTCAAATTAAAAAAACTGAAGAATTTTCCAAAAATCGAACAACAAATAATACAACAACTACAACTCCAATGAATTATAAAACACAATTTATACCAGTAGACTTCTCAATTTTTCAAATCTCCCAAAACCTAAAAATGATGAAAATTTTGAAAAAAAACTTGATCATTTTATCAAATAAATGCTAGTAAGTATCAATTATAAATTTATTTTTCATTTCATAATAAATTATTTATATTTAATTTATTTTATTTTTTTATTTTTTAATTAGATGATGATGATGATTTGAATACATTTAATTTATAAATAATATTTAACGTTATCAATTATATATTTTTTATTTGTATTTTACTCATAAATTATAAGGAATTAGTTATTATACATATTATAAAATCTTAACACTAAGTATAGAGTATTATTAAATAAACTATCACAATTTTTTTATACATTATATTACAAATAATAAGTGTTATTTTGTTAAATCACAGACAAAGCCAACTAAACTTATTTTAATTTAACCCCGGGCCGATAAAATACCACACCAGCATTTATAACAAATCTACAAAATACGAAAAAGTTGGCATTCTTTTCTTGAAATCTTTATAATTATTAATTAATTCTTCCCGTTTTTAAAAGCTTTCTGTTCGGACAATAATTATCTTTATTGCTTATAAATTATTCTTTTCTTTTTTTTTTTCTTTTAGTATTTATTATCATCTTGTTTATTGTTATCGTGAACTTGTTCGTTCTGTTTGTCTCGTTTATTGATATGAGAATTTATTTATTATTATAGTTATCACTATCACCTGATATTATTATCCATCTCACCCAAAACAACAAATATCAGTTACGTATATGTTTAAGGAATATTAAATGCTTGCTGACGACGAAAATGATGATGCAGTTGCTCGGTGATGATGATGTCGCCACCATCAACTACAGAATTGCTAGAATTATCACTAGAGTTCGACGTTATTATAACAGAACTTTCACCACCATTATTATTATTAGGATGAGTTGTGGATTATTATTATTATTTGGTATATTTACATTTCTTATAATATTATTATTAGAATAGAATTATTATGTGGATAAATTTTTTTGGCAAATTATAATATTAAGTTTAATTTATTTCTGTAAATAAATTTTTAAGTCAAATTACAAATTTCGAATAAAATTTTTTATACAATTACAACCTCATTAACTCAACTCTATCCTACGACTAATGAATTTTTTATTATATGTTAGGTTATCATATTATTCCTAAATTAATTCACTTAACATTAACCCCTAACTAATATATACATACATATGCTAATGATAATACTAAAATAAATACTACTAATTATTAAATTAAAATTTTATAAAGTGAAAATCAGATCAAGTCTGTTGACGTGGTGAGTTGATAATAATTATTATAAATTAATTTATTCATATTTATGATTTTCTTATTTTTTTTTTCTTAAAAAAAAAATAATTAGGACAGTTTTTTTTTTTTGAGTTTATATGATTTAACATCAAATCATCAAAAAGTGAAAGGTAATTCTCAATTAATTATTTCTTTCTTTTATATATAGTATTTATCATAATTATGTATTTCCTTTAAAAGTTAAATTTTTCATAGAAAAATTAACTCTTTCCGTTTATCGCGGATTACGTTAATTAAAAAAATGTTAATCAGACCTTTTACTATCATATTACATATTTTGACTAATGCTGATCTTCCATCCGATTTTACAATACGTATCTGGAAACAATTATTTCATGGCCATCTTCTAATCACAACTGTCTTTTTTTGTATTAGGCTTCTTCCAATTCATTGCACGAACCTCAGCTTTAAAAAATTAACATATGTATTAAGGCATAAACAGTAAATATGATCTGATTTATACATTCTTCTTTGCCAATAGAATACAAATTCTGACTCCTGTAGACAAGAATCTCTACAGTAATTTGTGTATCCAGGGTCAGAATCTAGACCAATTCATATTTAAAAGTATTTAAGCTCGTCAAACAATCCAAGACTATATTTATCGGAGCACATCATTAACTAAATGTGACAGTCATAGAATTGTGTGCACCTGATCCTAATGTAATAAATGTTGGGCAGGAGGAAAAGGAACATCTACTAATCTTATAATTCATAACAGGCTGTTATTGCTGGATCTTAAAAGTCAAAAGGATCATTCTAACATTTTGTACAGTTCGTACCTTCAAATCAAGTATAACAACGTCAGTTGAAAGCTCAAGCCATATCTTTTTTTGAACTTAGATGTTAAAGGAGATTCTCAGAGAGCTCAAATGTAAGCTTTAGCTTTACTGGTTCTTTTTTGCGAAAGAAATCTTGACGTGTCGGAGGGTGACAAAATTTTTTTGAAGTATGATTGATAAACTATGTGACGAAGATTCTTTTCATTTTTTCCGACGAATGGCGCGCGCGCCAGGCCAATTATTCCCAAGACGGTACAAAAAAAAGATATTTTGTCTAATATCATGAACACAGACTTAATAAATTTTACGAAAAATACAATTTATTATTTTCTTAAAGTAAAACCAAAAGGTGATGAACGAGGTAAGGTTTTCCGGTTATATTACTATAATTAATTATAGATATTATGTAATAGTATGGAAATGGATATAATATACATTCATTCATGGTATTTGTTAAAAGTCTCATTATGCTTACTCTAAATCAGTTTTAAGGTGAAATGAATCTTTCTAAATATTCTTTTCATAATTTAGGGGTTATTCCTTACTTTCTTATCTGTATTTCTCGATAAAAATGAAATAATGAATTAAAATTATTTAACTGGGGATTAAAATTCACAATAAGATTGTTCATTCACGTTCTTTTCCACTACTGAAGATTTCTTTTGGGTAAATTATTTATAACCCTCTCCTAGGAAAACAAAAAAATTGATTATAGTTATCTCTCCCAGGAAAACCAAAAAATTGATCATAGTTGTGTTTTTGTCTTTGTTTGGTTAATAAATTGGTTTAGTCGTTCTTGGAGCTGTCTGTTTTCTCTCATCAGTTAATTGATTTGGTTTTGCTGATTATTGCCTCGGCTCCTTTCCGTTAGGTAGTTTCTAATCCTTTCATTAATCTCACCTAAATTATTCGTTGGTAAACAGTTTGACAGTTGGTGGATAAATAGTTGCGTAAAAAAGCACGGCAACCATTACGGGCTCTTTGATGAGGATCTTCTTCCTCGGTTAAATTATTTACGTGACAAGAATGCAAAATAGTAGCCACAACTTCATTTTGGTTTGTTATTAATTCTTCGGTTTTTGCGACGTTTCTCTGGATCATGGAAACTTGAAAATCTAGTTTGTATAATTGTAGTGTATCTACCAATATCTTCACCAAAAAAAACTGTGCGGAGCAAAGTAAATGCTTTGACATTTTCTTGCGTAAATTTATGTTAATTACAAAGAATATCTGGTTCAAGCCACTTTGAACACCAGTAACAGCGTTAGCTAATCTATTCAAAGTCTCCGCTTCTGTGAAGCGGTTATCCCAATGGCATCAATTATGTGATAATCATGTCTTCTTTTAAACGAAAATGATCTATCTGACTCACTAATTATATTCGCTTTCTTTGATATTACTAATCACATTAGCTAAAACTGATCTGCTATTACCCGTTTTATTCATTTGCTTGTACTGGAATTATAATGTTTGCATGATAAAGATTTGGTTTTAAAATATGTACTGGATTTCAACTAAAAATCACGCGCCTAAATTTATTACGCAATTCTCGAATTGCACATCGACCCACTTTTGAAGAATTAAGGAAAGAGTTGAATTTGATGAGAATAATGAAATAAAAATTCAAATTAAAGAAGCTGAAGAATTTTCAAAAAATCAAACAACTACAGTTCCAACAGATTCTAAAACACATCCACAAGCAATTTATACCAGTAGACTTCTCAATTATTCAAACCTAAAAATGAACTTGAATTTACAAAATCTTTTTATCAAATAAATCATATTTTTCAATGAATGCGTTTAATAAATTTTAGTGTATTTTATATTTCTCCCAAATAAGAAAAGTTGCATTCTTTTCCCGAAAAGGAAATAAGTACTTTTATACAAAAAGATTATTATAAAAATTGTAGTATGCAATATAATATTTATATCTATTAAGTATTTTTTTACAAGTCAAATTCAGAATTTTAATATTTAGTATTTGATACGATGAGATTTACGGTAGTTCGATAGGAATTATCAGAAATTATAAAAAATAAATTTTTTATCATATTTTACAATCATCATTTAATTTCTACTTTTAATTAAATTTTTTTTTTTATTTTTTTTATTTTTACTTTTTGAATTTTCTTAAGTAGTATTTGTTATATCTTCCAAATTGATTATTGACATTTTTATAAATATTGGAAAATTTATCAAAAATTGATATCCAATCACGATTGAAGATCTTTGTGTTGTGGAGTACAGTGCGGAACCTCTATAATAGAAATTTGGTTATAATAAATATTGTTCAGTTTTTTTGCATTAAAATTTTAAATAAGTTCCTGTATTTACCAAATTTGAGATATACTAAAAATAGTAAAACATTATAATTTAATCTTTTTAATTACTATTTGAAAATATACACAAAAATCTTGGAGATATATAGATATATGAGAAAAGGTATTACCGAAAAAATGACAAGATATGCAATTAAAAAATATAAATCTTATTGTCATTACTTGATACAATTTATAATGAAATCAAAATTCATAATCCATATTGCTAAAATAGCTAAAATATAAACACATGAATATATTCGAATGATGATTGGTCAAAATCGCATCATGTGATGCTTACATAAACCAAGAAAATTGAGAAAAAATTATTTTTCCATAAACAGATTCTCCCATTCAAATACTTTATATAAAAAAATTCTGATCATTGGATTAAAATTTTCTAAGCTCCTATTATAGAGGTTCCGCACTGTAGAAATCTCAATACTTTTTATTAAATAAAAATGTTTAGCTCGAATTTCAAAATTTTACATATTTTTTACAATGCTTTGTTATGTAAAACACCTGACCTCAAAACCCATTCCCTGCAAAACTCGTTTCTTTCTTTCTTCTAATGACAAATATTGTTTCATTTATTTTTTATTTATTTACTTATTATACAGTTAATGGTTAAGTGTGTATTATCTATATACCTTATAAACTTTAAAAGTGATCCTTATATAAAATGCGTAGTACTAATGATTTACCATACATACTTACGAAATTTCGAGATATATATAATGATTATTATTATTATTATCATCAAATCATTTATTAAAGATTATAACTAATAAAGTGGATTATTTTTAATGAGTTCAATATTTATCATTTAGAATGATTTAAAAGTTTTAAAACTCTTCTAAATTCATCCATTAATTTCTGATTAATTAATTTCTTTTCATTTTGTTTATGAATATATGTTTCAATATCAAAACCCAACCTCTGTAATTCTTTATATACTCTATTTAATGAACGTAATCTTTTCTTGAAATCTTCAGTACTAATTTGTAATTGATCAAAACAACTTTTATAGTTATTAATTAATTCTTCCCGTTTTTTAAAATCTTCTTGCTCTGACATAATTTTCTTTATTGCTTCCAAATTATTCTTTTCTTTTTTCTTTTCATGTTTATTATTATCCTGTTTATTATTGTCCGGTTTATTTTCCTGTTTATTATCTTGTTTATTATTATCTTGTTTATTATCTTGTTTATTGTTATTGTGATCTTGTTTGTTCTGATTGTCTCGTTTATTGATATGGGAATTTATTGTTGCTAATTTATTATTATTGTTATCATCATCATCTGATATAATTACTATTGGTTGTTTTGGTGATGGGTGTGATTGATAATAATATGTTTGAGGAATATTAATTGCTGCTAATGATGACGATGATGATGTTTCAATTGCTCGATGATGATGATGATTATTATTATTATTATTATTATTTGGTATGTTTACATTACTTATATTATTATTATGTGGATTATGTTGATTACGTTGTTGAGTATGTTGAATATGTTGATTAAGTGATGATGACATAGTAGTAGTAGTAGGGAAAGTTGTTGGTCTATAATTATAACTTCCATACATTGTTTGATTATAATAATTTTGTGGAGTAAGATGTTGATTTTGATTTTGATGATAATTATAATACATATATTCGGTATTGGTTGGTATTCCATAATAAACATGAGAATTAATATTTGGTGGATAATTATATGATGATGATGATGATGATGATGATGGATTTATTAATAAATTATCATTCACTGAACCTACTGCTGGTGGTAATGTTGATGATAATGTTTTTGATAATGTTGATAGTGGTGATGCTAATGGCAATGCTGATGGTAATGCTGATGGTAATGCTGATGGTAATGTTGATGGTAATGTTGATGGTAATGTTGATGGTAATGTTGATGGTAATGCTGATGATGATATTATTAATGATGATGATGATGATGGTGATGATGGTTGTGGTGGTAAATCTAAAATTATTTCACTACCTCCATTGTTAACTCTTCGCTTTTGATCATTATCATCACCATCAAAATCAATTAATTCTTCAACTAATTCATCATCATCACTACTAGATGATGATATAGAATCGGCGACTTCTACTGGAATAAAATCTGGATCCAATGTAATTTTTTTCTTCCCTTTTGGTCTTCTAGGTGTAAGATGATCCCCTTCATAATAATCCTGAAACAATAATTTCATTCGTTAATAAATCTTAATTAATTAATTAATTCTAATAAATTTTTTTAATTAATAAACGTTAATAAATTTAATACTTACAACTTTCTTTCTATTTCTAGCTCCTTTTCCTAACATATTTTCTTCTAATTTTGAAGCGGTATCAACATGTGCTAAAAGTTTAGCCCAAAAATCTTTTGTTTCTGTTGTACCATTTGTTGTTGAATTATCACTTTTTATTTGTTCTTCTATAATAACTTGATTTTCACTATCCCAAATTCTTGCAAATGCAAATCCTGTTAAACTATTTGTTTCAGTATCTTTTTTCTCTACTCTCATTTGACTTCGATCTAATAATTTTTCAATTGCTTCTTCTGTGTAATGTCCAACTGGTTTAACATTTGAATCTTCACTAAATAATGCTTGAACTCCACATCTTATAATATCATCTACTTCTTCTACATTAAGAACTTCATCATCCATTTTTTCTACTACTAACTCGGTTCTAGCTAATTTAAGTTTTCCCTTTTCAACAATTCGTTCTTCAACAGAAAATTGTGTTACAAATCGAAATATTTTAACAGGCTAAAAAATAAAAAGTTATTATTAATTACATGAGCATATAAAAAAATAAGAAAATAAGAAAATAAGAGAATAAGAATATGAGATATCATTATGAGAGAATAAAATTTATTACCTTAGTTTGACCAATTCTATGTACACGACTTAAAGCTTGAAGATCTTGGTGCGGATTAAAATCTGGATCAAGAATAAAAACTGTATCCGCAGCCACTTAATAATAATATTAATTAGTTAATAATTAATTAATAATTAAATTAATAATTAATTAATTAAATAATCAATAATTAATTTAATTACTTACTCAAATTTAATCCTACTCCACCTGCTCGAGTAGATAATAAAAATATGAAAATATCAGAACCAGGTGCTTGAAATGCCGAAATATTTTTTTGTCTCACTTCATGTGAAGTTGAACCATCCTAAATTAATATATAAACATAATAAACATAAATAAATAAATAAATATAAATATAAATAAATAAATAAATAAATAAATAATATGAAATATAATATAAAATATAATATAAATATAAAATATAATAAAAATATAATATAAATATAATTACAAGTTTAGCATAAATATAACCATTATCTTCACAAACTTCTTCTAATATCGATAACATGTCTAAAAACTGGGAAAATATGAGAACTTTATGCCCAGTTTCATATAATTTCTTCAACATATCCTTTAAAAGAATAAGTTTTCCACTTGATTCAACCAACATTTTACATCGTTCTTCATCATTAAGATTTTCTTCTTCTCGATTAATTAAATAAGGATGTGAAACAATTTGTCGTAATGTCATTAATATATTGGAAAATCCTGTTGACCTGGTACGAGATTTAGCTACTCGACGTAAAAATTCGGCATTTTTTTCAAAAGTTTCTTTGTAAATTCTTTTTTGAAGTGGTGTCATACTAACTCGTACTATAACATCATCCTTTAGATAAATAAATAAATAAATAAATTAATTATTAATTTCAATTAATTATTATTATTATTATTATTATTATTATTATTATTATTGTTATTCACCATAGGAGGAAGACCTAAATCAACTTGATTCTTGGTCCTTCTTAGAAAATATCGTTTAAGTAATTTATGTAAAGCAGGTAATTGTTCTGCTGAAGGAAGTCCTTGATATTCTTCTGCTAATTCTTTAGGCTTGGAAAATTCTTTATGACCCAAGAAATGTAATAAATTAAAAAGTTCATCTATTTTATTCATTAAAGGTGTTCCTAATAAAATAAAATAAATTAATTATATTTAGAATATGAATAATAAATAATAAATATAATAAATTAATTATGTTTAGAATATAAATAAAAAATAATAAATATATTAAATTATTTATATTTAGAATATAAATATAAATAATAAATAAAATAATAAATAAAATCGATAAAATACCAGTAAGCAACACTTTAAAATAAACATTCAATTTTTTATTCAAATTTCTAAACAATTGAGTAGTTTCTCCCGCTTTTAAACTATGTGCTTCGTCCACGATTAAAACTTCCCAAAATGGAACTCGCGAAAATAGTGAAGGATAAATAGCAATTGCTTCAGCTGTCGTAACTACCACATGACATTTCAAACTATCACTATCTGGATACATTTCATAATCTGCTACCAATTGACATGAATCTCCTTCTCCATGAAATTCCACTACCACCAATTCATTTGCCCATCGTTTAAATTCTCGTACCCATCCTGCGGTTGTGGATTTAGGTGCCACGATAATAAATGGATGTCGAGATTTTTCTTTGTATAAATACATAATAAAGGATATTATTTGAATTGTTTTACCTATAATTAAAATATGTATTATAAATTATTTTAATCAATTTTATCATTATCAATTTTATTATTATTATCCAATGATATATAATTAATTATGTATTATTATTATCAATAACTTATTATGTTATTATTAAATATATTAATTTTAATTTTACCTAATCCCATATCATCAGCAAGTATACAAGAAGTTCCATTAGACCAATTATGTCTCAACCAACTAAAAAATTATTATGATAAAAAAAAAAATTATTAAAAAAGTTATTAAAAAAATTATTAAAAGAAATTATTAAAACCTTAGAACATATAAAAACATATAAACATAAAAATATAAAAATATAAAAATATTACTTTAATCCATCCAATTGATATTTCTTTAATTTATTTTCATATTTAGGATTAGGATTTTTACGACTAAAAGGGCTTTTCGTATATTTGGGATGTTCAAGATAATTAGGTTGTTTGGTAATTTCAACAAATTCAGTATCCCTAACTTCATCTACTGGTTCAATATTATATGCATTTATACGTGTTTCAAGTGCATCTTTGAGTTCAAGTGAATCAAGGTCATCAATATCTTCCCAATTTGCTATATAAATTATATAAATTTTAAAATATATTATAAACCATAAATTTATAAATAAAATCATAAAATAAATTAAATTAAATTATATTAAATTAAATTAAATTAAATAATAATAATAAATTATAAAATAAATTATAAATACAAACATTCACTATATTTCATTCCTTTCCATTTAATAAGTGCACTTTTAATTTTAGTTTTTTCTCTAGGCCTTTTATTCTTTTTCTTGAAAGTAACTCTATTTAAAAGATCACGTAGAGTTGAACCATCTCGATATTCAACATCCAAAACTCGATCAACTTTAGTCCAATCTTTATGAATTACATTTTCTATAGGTAATGGATCAGGTTCTAATTTAATAAAATTTCTAAATTTTATTGATGCTACACCTTTTAACCATTCTTCAGGTACCCAATCAACATTACGATATGATAAATCTTCAAATTTTACTAAATATTCTCGAAATTCAAGTTCTTTGTGTTCTGTGTTTTCGGTTTTTTGATCGTTTGAAGGTGAATTTATTACTAAATTTTCTTCTTCTTTCTTATCATCTAATTCCATCGAAGCAGTAGATTCTTTAGTTTCTTTAGTTTTTTCATCATTATTATCAACTTCTATATACTTATATCTATAAGTTAAAATTTTATCAATATTATATTCCCATTTACGACAAAAATGACATGTCCATTCTGATTGATAATATTCCATTTTCTCTTTAAAACTTTGTTTATTATATTTTGAAGGTAAACAACGTGGATGTATACCAAGTAAACAACGTGTACATCTAAATAATATATTATCAACATTGATAATTGGTTGTGTAGTTGATTGTGTGGTTAATTTGGGTGCTGATGATGATGATGATGAAATAACTTTTTCAATATTGTCTTCTTGCATTTTATCTATTTTATCTTGGTTTTCTAAATTTTCTTTCGAATTCACTTCATCTATTTGTTTATTTTGCGTATTCTCTGTATCCTGTGTAGCCGATTGTTGTGAATTAATTTCTTTAATGTCAATTGTTTCACTTTTTTTATTAATTGCAGCTTCGACTTCTCCGATATTACTATTATTATCATATTCCAAAGTCAACCCTTTCATTTTACATTCAATACAATTAGAATTTGATGATAGACATTGCTTACATTGAATAATTTCAATACGTTTCTTAGGTTTAGGGAAACATTCAATATGAAAAGTAAATGAACAAGTTTCACAATAAACAGTTACAGATTTATTTGGTTCATTTCCACATTTAGTACACCATGATAAATGAGCTTCAATAAATTTTTTAGAATATTTTCTAACCGGTATTTTAGGTACCACTAAAACATCTCGAATTACTTGTCTTTTAACAGGTGGCTTTTCGATTTTTTTTTCTGATTTTCCGATATCCGAAATTTGCATAAATTCTTCATCATTATCAGAAACGTCATAATAAACTGATCGTCTTTTATTTTTAATATTTCTTTTTATACGTTGACTTCTTCTTCCAGTTGGTACATCTTCATTATTACTACTACTACTATTGCTTTCTGATTCAATTGTACTACTTTCGCTCATTTCCATTTTAGCTCGTTTTTTTTTATTTGCATTGTTTTTTTGTGATCGCGTTCTTATATTATGTTCTATTTCAGAATCTTCATCAAAATCTTCATCCTCTTCATCCACTTCTTCATCCTCTTCATCCTCTTGCTCCCCTTCTTCATCCGAATCCGAATTCTTATGACGATCAACAACAAAATTAGAAACTTTGAGTATCTTTTTTTTCTTTTCATCATCTAAAGAATCTTTTTTCTTTCTTTTCGCATCTTCAGTCACTCCGCGACTTGTATAATAATGTTCATCAGAATAATTAATTGCTTTTACTTTCCTTCTTGATCGTGTTAGCATAGTTGTACTTTCATTTGATGAAGCTGTTTCAGATTCCGAATTAATTTCAGATTCTGCTTGATCCCCTCCATTTATTTCATCGTTCTATAAATAGAATTTTAAATTAAATTTAAATTAAATTATGCTGCAGATTATCAAATCATTCAAATCATTCAAATCATGTGATGATTAACACAATTTTAATTTTATATGCACAAAATTCAAAAAAAAATCAAATGATTACCTCCGAATCTGAAAAATCACTATCCCTCAAATTATTATTATTATTATTATTATAATTATTTTTATTATTATTATTATTTTTATTATTATTATTATTTTTATTATTATTATTATTATTATTATTATTATTACGCCCTTTTCTATGAGACGATGTTGTTGTTACATTTGCCCTATTTGAATTTTGTTGAGTTCTTTTTCTAACTCGATGTGCTTTAGTAATCATCTTCGAAAGATTTTTTCTTTATTATAATTATTAATCAAAAAGATCAATTAATAAAGGTAACCGATATAATTCTTAATTAATAATAATTAGTTAAATCTTAAATTGTTGAGATAGTCTAATGCAAGTTTTCAAGAGATGAGTAGTAGTACAAGAAGTTTTTTTTTAAAAAAAAAATCTCAAATCTCCTAATATTCTTAAAATGAAAATATATATATCAGTGAGATATGTTATACATAAATGGAAATTAAACAAATTCACTATTACTATTATTTAATATCAAGTTCTTTTTTTTTAAACCCAAACTTTACAAAAAAAAAACTTACTCCAAGCTTTAGAAAAAAAAGAAGAGTTAAAATACTTGCTTATTAGGATTAAATCATCATAAATTCTTTAAGTGGAAATATAGTTACACAATTGTAGTACAAAATTATACATTTTTATCACATGGTTTGTTTGCGTTTTTTGTAAAAAAACGCAACGCAAAAAAAAAATACGCGATTCTCTCGATTTTCTTTCGATTTGCGGCACGTGAAATGATCCCTTTTCATAATTTTTATTTTATAGAGTCATTAATATATGCATATGAATACATGAAACACGAAATGCGATGCACGAAACAAACAAATATACTAAATTAGATAACAACAATAAATACACTTACGCGTTTTTATATGTAAATTAATATATGTAATATATGTAAATTAACAAATTTGTGAGATTACGTGTAGATCAAAAAAAAAATTCTTTAGTATCGATTACCATTTTCTTTAATAATAAAGTGAATAAAAAAATAGATTATCTAATTATATTTGTAATTGAAAAAAAAAATAATGGTTATTATTTTTCCTATTATTATCTAAAGTAAAGCAAAAAATTTCCTTTTTATATTGTAAGTGAATGATATAGGAAAATAAAAATTCAGGCTGAAGAATCATTTAGTATTAAATATTAGGGTAGTGACGGATATGATTTTTACATGTTGTCCCCTGGATCTATAATAAAAATTGATATTCTAATCTTAACCTGGGAGAAATCCTTAATATTTAAAATTTTAATTTTATATTTATTATAAAATACTCAATATTAAAATTATTGAGTCTTAAATTTAAATATATATCATAATTTTTTTGATTTATTTTTTTTTTTTTAACAAATACTTTTAATTTGGTCAAATTTAAATTTGAGATAGAGAAATTTTTTTTTTTTTATTCCTTTCACCTTGCACATTTATAATGAATCCAAAAAATACATTTATATTGATAATTTACATGATATGTAGAAAATCATATAATCTACTTATGTTGATATATATATATATATTTACAGTGAGTTTGGTTGTTGATTGCTGACCATTTTGATTATTTTGATTTTAATACCAATTCAAAAAAGAAAAAATCTCGGACTGTTTATTGCTGATCAAAATATTCATAGCATAGTACCGAGTCAATAAAGAATTCAATAAAGAGATCTTGGACTGTTTGCCTGATTGGTTTCTGATCACATGGATTTTAAAAATATACCTAATAAGAAAAATTCCTTAACTAATTGATGTTGCTATTATTGCTGATAATTTTGGATTAAAAATATTTCTTAATACCTAGGCAATAGAGAAGATTTCTCAGGAACTAATTGATGTTACTGTTATTGCGACTAATTTTGGTTTAAAAATATTCTCAATACCGAGCCAGTCAAGAAAAGATCCCGGACTGTCTATAACTAATTGCATCAAGAATACCGAATTAACAAGGAAAGATCTTTAATTGGATGCTAATTATTGATGCCCTAAATACTGAACCAATAAAAAGATATCTCATTTCATTGATGATCATTTTGATTATTTTGATTTAAAAATATTCCTAACACCGAGTCAATAAAGAAGAAATCTCGGACTGTCTTCAACTATAAAAAATAAATGCAAATTAATATATCTAATATAAACTAAAAACAAATCAATTTTAGAATATTTTCGGTAATTACCATATCGCTTCGATTGTTAAATTCATGATTAGAGCTATTATCGGTCTTATCTGTTCGTTCTGGTCCATCTTTCGTTATTCCCTTTCTGACTCTAAGTTGTTCACCATTAATTGTTGATTCCGTCTTTGAACTTATTGTGCTTATGAAGCTCGGATTATCCAGAGTTTCCAATTTGTCATCACCCGGTTCAATTTTCTTACGGGACGGGGGTCTTCCCCTCCCTTTATGCTTTCGCTTTCGCTTTTTATTCAATTTTTCTTTCAAAGGATCTTTGCGAGGAATAGGTCTGTACGGTTCCATATAATGCTGTTGAGGAAATTCATTGTGAAGTTCCATTTGCTCCTCTTTTGTCAATGACCGCGAAACCTTCCATCTGCCATATGCTAATGAACCAGCGGACCTAATTTTATTGAATTAAAAAAAAAATAATAATTAATGAATTATATAATGTATAAAATTAATAATAAAATAATAATAAATGATAAATGATAGTTACTCTGTAGATTCTTCCAGGTCTCTGAGCTCCGGGTCCTTCTTAATTTTCTTAATATACATTTTCCTTGATTGAGTATAGATATTTATTAATCTTTTCATTTTATATCCGTCACGTAACGTTAACGGATGTGTACAGCCTCGACCATTATGATAGCAATTTAGGCAAATGTCATAAGCAGGACCTATCTCGGTTACACATTTGTAACAATGCAAATGACGGTTCCATATATCACAGTGACAGAAATCACACGACAAATGCATCTTATTATCAAAAGTCTTGAAAAATAAAACAAAAGGTCAATTAGATAATTATAATAATCTAATTTATCATGATTATTAAATTTATAACTTACTTTGGGTATGCGGATTGATTCATCCCATTTGCTACTCGCGACCCATTCTTGTTCCAAAAATGTTCTATACACGTTTATTAATAATTTAAATTCTGCTGGGAGGTCTCGACCCGGTGCCTCCATCTTAGTGGCGAACTCGCAATCTAGCTTCGTTCGGCTAGTACTTCGTGCAAGGGCGTCATACCACTTGGTGATGCTCTCATGCACGACCCGCTTTATTTGGTATGCTTCGGGTCGTAGCACACTATATAGCAATAGATAACAATAGATAACAATAGATAACAGAAGATAACAATAAATAACATTAATAACATTAATAACAATGAATGACAATAAATGAATGTTTAGTTTTCAAAATTAATAATTATAATTTAAATATCACCATTTTATTGATTCATTCTTACCTGTGGTAACTTGGCAATGAACCAACCATTGCCAAGGCCACTGAATAAGGGGTCACTCTGTTCCAGGAGACTTTGATACTGCAGCCCCCCTATAAATAGATAAATAAATAGATAAATTAATAGACAAAATACAAATAGTATAAAATAAATAGAATAAATAATTAATATTATAAATGGATAAATATTATAAGGGTATATATAAAAGATTATATTATCATGTATATTTTCAAACCTCATTTAAAACTTCATGGCAACACTCCGAAGGCACAAGTACAAAGTCGCCGATCCGTTGTTTGGTTCGATAGACAGTGAATCCAGCCTGTGCCAATTGACTAGGCTGCACGTAGTAGTTCTCGAGGTCAATATTTTGATCGGCTTCCCGAACAAGGGCCGCAATCTTTTCCTTATCTTCGCGGCCTACCATATACCAAGTGGACCATGTATCTAAAATTTTATTTTTTAAAATTTAAAAAAAAAATAAATAAATAAATAAATAAAAAAGAAAAGAAAATCTCAAAAAAATTTAAAGCAATTGTACCTTCATCGGCATAGACCATCAAATTATGACCGAACGAGGCGCACATATCCTTATGTAGAGGCGTTCTACCCGATGCCAAAGTTATTATAATTCCATATAAGCTTATTACAATTATTTTAATACTCACTTGGTTCCCTCGAACCCAAGATATATCATTAAATTATCAGCTCTAAGTTCTGGAGCCAAATTCGCTAAAAGGATGTAGGGATATAAATAAATTATCAATAGATTATCAATAAATTATTAATAATAAAATAAATAAAACATCTAAATGTCTCAAAGTATAAATTATCGATATTAGTTATAGAACACTTACACATCAAATCATTATTGCCATTGTATTTAAAGTAGCTCGGTAAGAAGTTGGCGACATAATCTTTCCACGGCTTTGGACATATTATATCTTTACCATATAAAATCTGGTCTGGTGGCATTAGACTATTGATAGTGTCCTCAACATAATCTATATAATCTGATAAAATCATAGGTTCGTCGGTATTAGAGATCATATCACGAGCGACAATTTCTAAAAAAAAAGTAAACGATTAAAGATTGCTTTTTTTTTTAAAAAATATATTCAATAAACTGTAAAGAATAGGTAGCAAACCTTGGTCACCCTGGTTCAATTTTAGCCAACTAAAAGTGAATAGCTTGTGGTCAAAGCTTCTTTTCTTGTGGTAATTTTCTAACACAAGAGGAATTCCTTGTTCAACACACGTTGAATGTACTTGTTTAATAATTTCTTCTTCTGAAAGTCTTTTGACATTAAGACGAGTGATTTCAGTAAATTGCGGTATTGGACTCGAAGTACTTTCCATTCTATCTATTGTGAATATAATATCTTATGAAATGTTAACAAACGAAGAGAATTAAAAAAACAATATTTTTATTTGGTGATATATTTTTATAGTTTAGGATCAACCAATAAAAATTTATCTGTCAGATTCTTACGCACGGAGAAAATAACCTTAATTGGTTATTTAGAATTACGTAATTCTTTATTTGGATAGCTATGTTAAATAAACGTACGATATAAAATAAACGAACGATATAAAATAACAAAACAAATAAAGTATTACAATTTTTTTTTTTTTAACATCACAATTTTTCTAAATTGTACTACTGACTTTTTAAAATTAAACTATACTAAATTAATTTTAAAAGTAAAGTCAATAATAATACTTATTAAAAAAAAAGATTTTTTTGGTTGTGCAGTCACTGCACTGCAGTGTCATATTTAACTCAATCTAAATGAGAAAGTAAAGGGTTGAATAATTTTTCAGTTTTATGGTGGCAATAAGAATGAATTCACTTCTTTGTTCAAATATTGGTAATAAAGCTTTTTTCCAAGGCTTGATCTTGTCAATATTTTAATATTTTTTAAACAGATGACTGGAAAATCAACATTTTTAATCAGTTCTTTATTATGAGAATTATTATAAATTTTTTAAATCTTTCTTTAATAAATTTATGATTAATTAAATTGATTTAATTCTTGATTTTCTATTATAATAATGTTCACAAAGAGTATAATACTTCCAATAATAACAATGCTCATGAAGAGTTTAATACTTTCAGTAATAATAATGCTCATGAAGAATTAAATACTTTCAATAATATATTAGGTAGATGTGATTATAACTTATACTTTTACATCCATCTATTCTTAGTAAGGTAACAATGGTCTTATTATTAAGGATAACAATATATTTCTTTCAATATAATATTATCACTTTCTCGTTAATAATATTTCTAATTAATTGTGATTAATGAACCCTTTCAATGTAATTGGTTGTTTAATTAAATTTTAATTAAATTCAATTATCTAACTTCAAGTATTATACCAAAAATCAAATTAATATTATTCACTTTAAGTTATTATCAATTATTATTTATTGAATTTAAGTGCTCTAAACTGTAGAAAGTAAATTAGTGATCTGCATGTCAATTAAAACATATAAAATATTACTACTGAATCGAAAAAAAATAAAGAAAAAGCTTCATCTCTTGTATATTGCATGTCCCAGCTTTTTTGACTGTCCCTGTGTCCCATGTCCCACTGTCCCTATCCTTAACCAACTTATAAATGGATATTAAAACTTTATAGATACATATAAAAATCAATTTCAAACAACTTTAATTAATAGCCGAAAGCAGATTTTTAAGTAATATTTTGTGCATTTACATTTTAAAAAAAAAATAAGTTTTGTCTCAACATTGTCCCCTTGACATTGACTATACGTGCCAGAAATTGCCTATCATATAAGCCCGAAATAATTATGGAGAAAAATCCTGAATAGGATGATATCTTAATATCTTATCCTAGAACTGAAAATAAGATAAAATACAAAATATATTAGTTTGCAAGGTGCAGACATTAAATATGAATGAACTTGTTAATATTAATGATTTTTATTTAATACAGTAACTAATTTAATTGAATTTATACTTAGTGTTAAGATTTTATAAAATATAAATTTTCTCCCGATTAAAAATGAATATAATTTTTTTATAACAAATAAAAAATAATTCAATAAAAATAATTGTAATACATAATTTTATGTAAAACTGAAACTTATTAACTAAATAAAAAAAAAAAAAATTAAAGTTAAAATTAAAATTAAAATCAAATTAATATAAAATGAAAAAAGAAAAAAAAATTTTTTTTTTTAAATATATTGATACTTACTAATAATTAAATAAGAAACATATTCTTTTAATATTTTTATTTCTTCGGATTCATCAAAAATTTTTATAATTATATTATGGGATAAATTGACAAATTCATAATACTTATTATCTATATGAGAAAGATATTCTGTTAATTCTTCAAGTTCTTTTTCAAAATTTGGTTCATTCTTAGGTTTTGGAAGATTTGAAAAATTAAGAAATCTACTGATATAAATTGCTTGCGGATGTGGTGAAGTTGTTGTGGTTGTGGTTGTATTATATAATGATTGCATTGCTAAAAATATTTCGTCTTCTTCGGCTTCTTTAAATTGAATTGTAAACCCATTATTCTTATTTAATTTACAATCAAAATAGTATCTATTTAACTCTTTTGCTAATTCTTTAATTGTGGGTCGATGATTAACTCGAGCATCCCAAGATTTCATAATTAATCTTTGAATTGATTTTGGTGTATGTGATGGAATTTTTGGTCTTAATCCATTACATATTTCTAAAGCTAGACCTTCATTGTGTGGCACATCAGAATATGGTGGTGAGCCAGTAATAATTTCATAAGCCATAATCCCAAATGAATAAACATCGGCAGCCTTTGTGTATTCTTCACCAGCCAATACTTCGGGAGCTATATATGGTAATACACCAAAGATGGATTTCTTTTGAGGATCTTTTGTATTTTTTGGAATTAATTTACTAAAACCAGAATCAGATATAATAAAGGATAAATATTCCTCATAAAAATTATTTGATAAAATGTTTCCAGGATGATGATTATAATAAACTTTATCAGATTCATGAGGTATACAAATATCACAAATATCACAAATATGAGTAATACTCCAAACTAATTGGGTTATATAATTTAATTTATCAAACCAATGAAGATTATTAACATTATTATTTAAACAATTTCTAAGATTTCCATATTTCATATATTGTAAAACCATCATATATTTTTGAGTTTCGGGATCTTTTGTAATTCCATAAAATCTGGGTGAAAGTTCTGATCTCAAGTGAATTGCCATCTAAATAATATATTTTTTAATTATAATTAAGATAAAATTTTTTTAATTATAATTAAGATAAAATTTATTTCATTCATATATTGATTTTAAACAATAACTTTACCAAATTTAAGAAATCTTCATTTATATCTCCAACATCGTCAAACCTTTTTAATATCACTTCAAGTTCTCCAATTCTTTCCCATTGTTTATCTTCAATAATCCAACGTTCAATAGTTCCATCAATCCACTTAGCATGATAATTAGTAGCCAAACCACCTTTTGCAAGTTGTTTAATGTCTTGAAGTCTATCATAAGGGATCCATTCGACTATTTTCTCAAAATAATCTACATTTGCTTGAGCCTCTTGAATAAATTTATCTATCATATCATTTCCACTAGTCCAATTATCGAAATCATTTTTGAAACGCGAAAAGTTGCATGATATACACCACCAATCATTATATTCTTGATTACACTCTGGACATATTGAATTTGAGGGCATTTTTTTTTTCGTTCTTGTAAAATATTTAAGCGAAGTTAACAAATTTGTATTTGTATTTGTTTTTGAATTTATGTTTGGATAAAAATTATGATCTAAAAAAATTATTGATCTCTATTCATTAAAAATTATTGATCTCTATTCATTTATAAATAATCTCATTACTATAATTACTATAATAGGTGCGTGCGTCAATCAAATAATATTTTGAAACATGCACGTCATACGTCATTATAAATTAAGATCTTCTCAAAATAAAAGTTTGTTCTTATATGTACATATATTTGTTATTAAGAAATCTTTTCTTTAGGATAACCAAATTCTTTTACAGACATTAATTTGAACACATAATTCTCAAGAGAAAGAATAATTTTTCACTATTATAAAATTGACTTTATGCCAATCATATCAACTTAATTATGTAAGACAACCTTGCTAGTTGTCTAAAAATTTTACATATATTTCTCAGCATTTATTTCAAAGTCTTAACATTCCTTCGAAAGCATATGCAAGTTGTTTCCCGCATAACATTCAGAACGATAAATAAAAATAATTTGTTTAATAGACCCAGAGGAATGCTCACAAGAAGAAAGCGAGAAAAGTGCAAACAATAAAATGAAAGTCTTTATTATTTAGAAATTAGATTATTATTTAGAAATAGATATAATAATAATGAATTAATCCATATCAATAAGGTAATCTGAATTATATCACATGATATTTGATTGCATTGTTTTCATGTGAAAACGATAATCTTTAACTTGAGGAAATAACATAGATTACAAATCAAAAAGATTACGATAACGATGATAAAATAAATATAAAATAACCCGAACTTCGTCCAACAAAAATAAAACTTTAATTTTTAAAAATATAATTGAAGCTATGGAAGTTATTAATAAATATTCTGTACCTATTTTACCGACCGATTGTCTATTGTGTATATTTTCTTATATTTCTGAAGATGATATAAAGACTTTACATTCAGCCATGTTGGTATGTCGTCTCTGGTGTCACAATATTGTATCAATCTTATGGAAAAGACCATTTTCTATTATCCTAAATCTATCATCATCGTCATCATCACCTACTCTTGCTAAAATTATTCCTATTTATTTAAGTTATTTGGACTTGGATTTATTATCCGATGATTTTAAAAATATTTTTAGTAATTTAAAGAAACCATTTTTCGGTAATGATGTAAAAAAATCAACTTTCAATTATCCTTCGTTTCTACGTGAATTGGATTTTAAAAAATTGTATGATGCTATCTCTGAATGGTCTACTTCTAATCGGATTTTCCTAGTTGATAACGAATTGGATATTGAAATCGAATTAGCAAAATTATCATTTGAAGAAATTAGAGTTAATAAACAACGAGAGAATTCCTCTTCTGAAAACTTTTATTCTGATAATAATAATAATAATAATAATAATAATAATAATAATAATAATAATAAAGATAATAATAATAATAATAATGATGATAATAATAATAATGATGATGATAATAATAACAATAATAATAATAATGATAATGATAATTGGGGACATATAGATTATTTGGAAGATAATAATAATTATAATAATTATACTGAATATGATGTTACAAGTGACAATGCTGATATTTCTCCTGTTATTTCAGATTTAGATTATGATGAAGAACGTGATGATTATGATTATCAAGTTGATGATGAATATAATCAATTTGAAATTATGAGTGAACCGGAATATGATGAAAATGTTCAACATCGTGAAATTCCATTCGAGACTACTGAAGAAGGACGTAAATTATTAATTGCAAAGGAAATTTGTATAATGTTAATGAGAGAATGTCAAACTTTTAATAAACTCATTTTAGATACTCGAGGATTTTCTCGTTCATTATCAATTCAATCTGTTGATTATATTTCAATTCCAAATTTACCAAATGCAATTAATTGTTTAATAAATCTTACCAAATTTGTTTGTGGTGGTGAATTCTTTAAAGGGGAAATATTTCATACCATGGCTAATTATTGTTATAATTTAGATTCAATTTCTATTGTGGATACTTTTCATCCTGCAATTAATGAATTAGCAAATTTAATATTGGTCCAAAGAAATTTACGAAAATTTAATTGGATTGGAGGTTATGGTGATTTAACTCCAATTATTATATCTTTCTCAAGTCAATTTGAATATTTAGAAGAAATTCAATTAGCAAATGCTTTCTTTCAAGATTTTAAGGCACTTGAAGGATTAGCTAATTGTCAGAATTTAGAAATACTTAAAATTGCTGAATGTCATTTAACTTCACTTCATGTCAAACCATTGGTAAATGTTAATTTCCCTCATCTCAAAATATTGGAAATTACTGATATTCATGATGCATATGACTTTGAACAAGAGGAAGCACCTGATCCACCTTCAGAAGAAATAATTTCAATAATTCGTAATGCTAATCGTCAACTTCGAGATGTTCGTTTAAATTTAGAATTACATTTTTATCCTGGGATAATAGAAACTGTTGGAATTTCTTGTCCAAATTTACAAACATTTGCTGCAAATATAAAAACCGATGAACAAGTTTCGGAATTAATGAATTTGTTAAGTTCATGTCGACAACTTGAAAATTTAATAATTTGTGGATATTCATGGAGTAATTTCTTTCCGGCTGATTATATATTACCAGAAATTGGTGCGATTTTACCAAAAATGTTAACACACTTAGATTTAACTAAATGGACATTCGAAGCTGAAGCATTAAGGAAATTCCTTAAAAATTGTAAATCATCATTGGAATATATGTCATGGCATTGTTTTATTAGCCATGAAGAACATAAATCTGCCATAGTAGAATATTCACGAAAGAGAGGTATTGGAATTAAAAATTTAAGAGTGGATGTGCATGATAGTGGATATGGATGGCATCGATGTGTTTGTCACATTTCAGTAGAGTTTGAGAAATCATCGGATACTAATAAGGATAAGGAAGCAAAGTAGATTCTTTTAATTTCGGATTTATTTGTGATTTTATTTTTTTTTTCGTTTTAATTAAATTGTAATTCTTTTTTTCATTTATTGTTTCCTACTTTTCCATGATTTAATGTACAAATTTTATGAAATAATTATTTGACAATTTACTACCATCATTTTACTTTGACACATACATTAAAAATAAAAAAAAATAATTGATTATACAAACATTTATTAATTAAAAAAAAATTTATCAGATTTATCAGCTATAAATTTAAAATTCTAAAATCTTCAAAAATAAAAGAATCATCCAAAATTTTCTATACCATTTTATACCATTTGTAAAAGTTTTATCAATCAGTAAAATTTGTAAAATTTGATTTTTTTTTTTCTTTTGTAAATAAATCAAGTTCATCAATTTCATGAAGTATATCAAATAGCTAGTACTCTGAATGACTTTATTAATACTTTAAACCCACATTATGAAACACAAAAAAAATATAATCCTAAGTAGTAAAATAATTCAAAGATGAACTACTTTTGTGATTTTAATTAAATAATTATTTCTATCATAATTTGTCATTCTTGTATTTACCTGTTCTATTTGCTTATATATATATATATATATATATTTATTTCAACTGATTCATGAGATATATCTGGTAAATGTAAATGAGTATCTATACTGAATCTGTTTAACTTAAGACTATTTATATCAACTTCATTAAGTAATGCATGGTAAAAATTTCAGTCTAATATATATATATATATATATATATTAAGGAAAGAAAGAAGAAAAGATTGTGTTTACTACATGTGATATTTGATGATTTCTTAATTTCTATTTGATTTGCACGTTGAAATTGCGTGATTTCTAAGTGTATTAATGGCTTCTGATTTCTCTTCGATTTACACGTTGAAATTGCATGGTTTCCAAAGGTATTAGGTATTAATGACTTCTGTCACTGTAATCATTTCTTTTTTTTTTCTAACCGTTATATAAAAGCCTATTTTATTTGTTTTGTGACTTTATAATAAATAATAAATGCAAAAAATTCATCTTTCTAATTTCCACAATTTTATATTCACTAAAAAACCTGTAATGACATTAATGATACTTTGGTAGATGATCTGAAAAAAAAATAATGTGGAGAAAATATTAGTTATTTATGATTTCTAAAGTAAATTGCTGTGGGGTAAAATGCATTAGGGTTACATGTTTCACGTGATATTATAAATTTAAAAAAAGAAGGAATTAATTCGCGTCTTTATTTACTATTCAATAGATTGAATGCATAAAAAAAAACAATTATTAGTTTGTGTATCTTTTGATTGAGCAAAATATTTTTGGCATTTAAAAGTTTTACAGAATTTCTACTATAAAAGTAAAAAATAATAATGTAGGAATGTCAGAGCTTATTAGATGGTCCTGATTTGGAAGTATTAGCATTTAACTCTTGATCATGTGATCGTGAATCAAAATCGACGGGATAGATATTATAATAATATAAATTTTCGTAATACCAATAAAGTTGAATTAGTTGCATTTCCATTTTCGATACTCCTCAAATTTATCATTCTAAAGAAATGTATTATTATTGTCTTCCGTACATATTCTCGAAAAAATAAAAAATCAAAATCGTGGCTACAATAATTTTTTTTCGTAATCGAAAATAAAAAATTTATTCAAATGACTTCTCTAAATGTCAATACATTTTGATATAGATTAATCTCCAAAATTAAACTTTTTCCAAATTAAAACTTGCATAAATAAACTAGCATACATTCATACATTCACAAACAATTTTTGTATTTTCTTTTTTGTTCATCGTTACGATACTAATCAAACTTAGATTCTTGTACCATTCAAAATTGCTGCTAACAGTGATCACATGTCTAAATCGGTGTCTCGTAATCCACTCATTATGCATTACAATTAAAGTTAAGAGGCTATTTTGAGAGTGTATTAAATAATATAAGAGGATGCTTCAATGAGGATGTTGAAGTTTCTTTAAATAATCAATTTTCGTATAAATTGGTCTGCAATTTTAAATATTTTACTGCAATTTTTTTTTTCTTTTTTTTTTGTTGTAATACTGTATTATCTAATTTCTTTTATTATTTTTTCAACGTTTTTTTATTTACTCAAAATAATGACTCCACCTATTCCTCGAGATATACTTGCCGAAATCTTTTCATACTTACAAGATCCACATCACATGCATGATGACAAATTTACCTTGTATTCTTGCATGAATGTTAATAAATCTTGGTGCGAGATCGCGGTTCGTTATTTATGGAGTGACACCGCGAATTTTATCTCACATCCTAAAGCAATCATCATTTTATTATCTTTTATCCCCAATAAATCAAAGGAACTCTTACTTCAAAGCGGTATTTCCATTAAAAATTTATCTAGACCACCACTATTTAATTACCCCATATTCTGCAAAACATTGACAATTTCACATGTCGGTTACTTTTGGAAATCTGAAGAAGAACCAGATATTATTGATCATAATTATAAAGTACACTTAATCACACAAGAATTATATAAACTTTTTATCTCCAAAAGTCCAATAATCAAACGACTTACACTTCTCACACATTCAATTCATCTGACTCACTTCTCCGGCGCAATTTCGAGTCTTTCCCAGCTTGTAGAATTCGTTTGCGATACAAATTTATCTCATGATGCTTTCTATGGTATGGCTCAAATTTGTAAACACCTAAAAAAATTAATTGTAAAACAGTACCACGAGGACAATCAGGCATTGTCCAAACTTATAAAGTCACAACATAATTTGACACACGTGGAAATTGATACAGAATTTGAACGTGATTTTATTGAATATACATTATGTTCAAATAATATTGGTCATGCTTTAACAAAGGTGGCACAGTCAATTAGAAATTTGTCGTTAGGAGGCAGTCAATCGTGCATCTTAATGTATACGATGAAACATTTTTATAATTTGAAATCTTTCAGGTTAGCTCATTATGGAGATTATGTGGATGAGATGCTTGAACATATGAATAAAGAACATTTTCCGGATCTTGGAATCTTTGAAGTGGATTACGAAGCACCGAAATTATTAAATTTAACTAGATTTGTTTTAAACAATAATATAAATCTAGAAGAGATATCATTATACTGTTCTATTCCACCGGATCCAAAAAATTCCGTATTATTTAATAACGCCATAGCACAAAATTGCAAGAAACTTGAATTTTTCACATCATTTTTTGTTGATACAGAATTCAAGGATCTAAAAGATATTCTTATAAATTGCACTAATCTAAAAGCTTTATACATCCGAACTGCCAATAATAAACTTAACGGAGACAAATTGTTAGAAATATTAAAACATTTTGCATCACCTCAACTTTCAAGATTGTGTGTGGGAGGGGAATGGGAATTTACCACAAAGAAACTAGAAGAATTTTTAGAATTTATGTGGAAAAAAGAAGGACGACCGATTTCTATATATCATCATTATGAAAATATCATAGATGAAGAGAAAGAAGAAGCTTTCGAATTTACAGAAGAACAATCAGAAATTATTAGTAAATACCAAATGTCAGATTGTGATTTGGATTTAGTTAGATTAAAAGAAATATTTTCGTGTGAATGGAATCCATTTTATTATGATTTTTCAAAATATTATTATGCTGCACAAAATGAATGCCCACTTTAAGTGTAATTAAGTGTAAATATGTTTATTACCTCCCAAATTTTTAAAGTAAAACCAAAATTATGAATTAACAATAAAAAACAAAATAATTTTAAAATAATTTTTACATAATTATCATAGATTTAATTTTTAAGTTATTAATTGTTTTTATGGATAAAAAAAAATTACTGTAATAATATAGAATAAGAAATATTCAAGAAGTTATTGAAATTATTCAAAATTTATTATGTAAAATATTACAATTTTAATTATTATAAAATAAGTTTTGACACTATAAGGTGCTTATCAACATGTACAAGTATTAAATTATAAGAAATAAAAATGTTAAATAATAATTTAATGTTCTTTTAAATCGTCCCCCAAAATTATTTCGTGATATATGAACCGAAATTATAAATTTCAATGTTAATTCAGAGCGATTTCTACTAAAATATTTTAATACATTTAATGTATTTAACAATCACAATGTAAATAAATTACTAATATTTAACTTGTATATAAGAGTATATTAAACAAGAATTTACAAAAAATAATAAAATAATAAAATATAGTAAAAATATAATAAAGTAAAGATAAAATATATTGTAAAGATTATTAAAAGAATGAAAAAAACTATTTCAACTTTAAAATAAAATATATAATATAATAAATAAAGAATGAATCTAATTGTCACAACACGTTACGCACCTTATTTATGACAACTACTTAGTACAGCCAATAAAAATATGTGTAACTTAAATTCTAAATCTAAATATTATTGGCTAACTGCGGGTTACATGTAACAGTACATTTTTTTCATAAATACGACCATAAATTCTATTAAAATTTTATATTTATTTACTTATTGACTGAATAATTGTTGATATTGTTTTCATCTAATTTCATGTATGGAGCGAGAAATCCTTTATAGGCTTTAAATATTAAAAAATGTGAATATAATTTGAGACATATATAATAGGGATATGATATGAATATAATATGGATATAATTAAGATATAATAATAATAATCATAATTTCAATCTATCAATTAATTAATTTAATTTATTAATCAAATGAGGTAATCAAGTAAAAAATCCAACATTTGATAATGAATTTTTGCTTCCACAAATTAGAAATATCCATTCCAACAAAAATTTGATAATGGGTAATTTATTTGAAACATCCGTGAACCTGGTCTACATCTATAATATAGTAAATATATAATATAATATTAGTAAATATCTTTTATAGGGAAGAAAAATTCCCCCAAATATTTATTAAATAATGTTGAATACTTATTCTGTGAATTTTTTCATTTGTTAGAAAATAATATACATCTTTTTACCCATTTGGTGATGAAGATATAAGACTCGTATACATTATCAGATTTTTTAATGTATGATATCACATGAAAAATACAAAAAAAAATGACCAATGATAAAGTTGCTATTCTTTCTTTTACATATAATTGTAACAATAACTTCGTTTTTGGAGTATCCAATAGTTGTAATTTCTCCGTTATTTGTTTAATAGAACGTTATAAATTATTTTCAATAGTTTGTAATAGTTTGTAATAGTTTGTAATAGTTGTAATGATTTTCAATAGTTTAAATAAAGTAAAAATAACAATTTTAATTTGTTCGATTATAACAAAAATCTCATATATATTAAAATCAAATATCTAATATTTAATTTAATTTAAGTTTGCTTATTAGCTATTTATTCACACATTATTATTATTATTATTATTCATAAGCTTTAAAGAGATAAATACATGTAAAGAATTATATCTAAGTTATACAGTAAATGCTTAAATTTAATTATGAATATGAAATAGAACGCGAGAAATACCTATCTAATATAATAACATAATACAAAAATTGTTTCCATGTCTCTAAATTCATTAATAATTATTGCTACAATTTCTTCATATTCTTCAGAAGTTACTTGTAATAATTCAGTTACAGAAGCTTCCACACTTTAACTCAAAATTAAAAGAGTATCTAACTATAAAATTTCAACAATTAAAAATAAATTACCTCTTGACCCAATTTATCGGCCATGTTACCTAAACAAATAGGTTTTTTTCACTTTTAATATTTTCAAAACATCAATAATAAAAAAACTTAAGATTTTGCTGTAGTTGGTCCCATTTGTAAAAATTTTAGAGACAACTCCATTAACTTTTATATTAAAAAAAAATGAAACATTGAAATACAAAATCAAAAGAATTATCCTCAAAAGGTAGAATATTTTTCGATATGGTAGAATCAACAACATGGTGGGAATTTGGATAATAGGTTGCTATTTCAAACATTCAAGGACCAGCTCCACAACTTATAACAAAAATAATAGTACTTTATTTAATTTATTTATAAATAATAATACATAAATAACCAACTTCAAAAACTTTTGAACGAACTTTATTTAAAATATCTTCAACAGTCTCAGAAAAATTCTTGCATTTGAAATGCACATGATGTAATACTTTTAATATTTGATTATATAAATAAATAAATAAATAAATAAATGTGCAATAAAATATGATTATTAAATTTAGGGATATAAAAAAAAATGTGAAATAATTATTATAATTTAGCATATTTGGCATATTTAGCTATCATTTTAGAATATTTTGCTAGCATATACACAATTAAAATCTTGAGTACTCTCATATTCTCTCAATTCTTCAAGAACATTTTTAGTAAATACGTCATACTCTTCAGAGCCCACTTGTAACGCATTCATCATATGAATTTTTGTTGTGCTAAATATATTTTTCTGATTTAAGATAGCCTGTAAAAAAAAAATTGATACTAAAAATTAAAGATTTCTCAAAATTTTTTATAAACTATAAAATATTTTTTTAAGTGCATTACCGTTTGACCCAATTTATCAGCCTTGTTGCCGTAAAAAATCTGATATTTTACACATTTATTATTTTCAAGTTCTTCTTGGTTAGCAATTAGTGATTCTAACTCGTAAGCTACGTTTGGATTCAAATTTTTTTTGATCAACATTTCTCGACCTGCAAATTGTTTTTTTTTTTTATTTGAAATGAAAACGTCAAAAATACCAGAAAAGAATATTGATTTAATAAACTTACCAGATTTCATAAGCTCAGATGTATATGGTCCCATTGGAGAAAATTTTGGTGACGTCTCTATCAACTTTTATATTAAAAAAAAAAAAAATTATTTGATTATAAAAATTTCTACTTAATAGAGATATATTTAAAGATAATTTTTTTTTACCTCTAGAAAACCACCAGGTTTTAATACTCTAATCAACTCATTTATAAGAAAATTCCATTTATCAGCAGGAATTCCAAGAATTAAGAAACGTTGAAATATGAAATCAAAAGAATTATCCTCAAAAGGTAGACCATTTAATACGTTTGTTTGAATAAAGGTAATATTTTTTGGTTTAATTTCAGATGATGATGGAATGGGAGATATATCAATACCCACAATTTGTGATTTTGGATAATTGGTTGCCATATCAAACGTCCAAGAACCAGCTCCACAACTTTATAAATGAATATTTTATTTATAATTTAAAATAATAATTATATTAATTTAATTTTATAAATAATAAATAATATTACATACCCAACATCAAGAACTTTTGAACCTTCTTTATTTAAAATATCTTCAACAGGCGCAGAAAAATTACCTTGACGAACACTTTTAATTAAGAAATGTTGTAAATGTAATCTATCGCATTCTTTATCATCATTAGGAAGAAAATATGAAGAATTTGATTCGTTATGATATCTTCTCCCTCCGAGATATTGAAAATTAGTAAAATGATCGTCGGATGTTGGCAGATCTTTTGAATCATTTTTACTAATTAAAGATCCCATACTTAAGGACTGTATTATTTTATTTTAATTATTTTAATTCAGAATCAAGATTTAATTGTCTTTTTTTTTGAAATACCAGAGATCAAGAGAACTTAAAGTATTCATATTTATGTATTCAAATAAAAATAAAATTAAAAATTACAATAAAATAATTGGTTGATCGAAGATGTAGTGTCTTTCCAAACTTTGGTATGAGTGACCAATGGAATGAAAATATCTTGCTTTCAGTATAATTAAGCACACATATTTATTATGTTTTTTTCTGTAAAACTTTTCGTATTTAAATTTTGCTTAGATTTTTGGTATCTTGCCACAGAAACTATTTATTTGATAGACAAAAAGAATATGTAACATGTTTATATCTTTTCTAAAGGTATTTTTGTAATGAGATTACGAAATCAAATCTATTGAGTATGCAAATAATACAATTACGATCAAAGAAATTAACATAAAATGCTCTTTGTAAATTTCTGATAAAGTCACATGTTATAAATCCTGAATTATGATTGGCTAAAACCGCATCATGAGGTGCTTACATAACCAAGAGTTGACAATGGTCGTGCAGTTATGGCGGGCAATGATTATTAAAAAAAATCTCAAAACAGTTCAAAGCATTTTTCTTCAATTTATTCCTAAATGATTTTAAATATTATTTGCGTATTTATATATTGCAGGGTTTATTTGCATCTTTATTTTATATCTTGAAATATTAGATTCAATATCCAATACTTATAAAATTGAACCTGCATTTCAACTTAATCAATTACAACAGCTTTTATGCATTTGCATAACTTATATCAAAACATATTTTCAAAAGTGTAATAAAGTTGGTAGCAGGAGAAGATTAGGAATCACAAAAATTCAAATGAACCACTAAGAAACCTTTAATAAATTACCTAACATATAAAACTATGAACAAATCAGGAATAAAAAATAGAATAAGTCAAATTTTATACGAAATGAAAATAATAATTAACAATAAAACGAAGAAAGTAACAAATTTAACTTTTATCTTTGTTTTATAATTTAAAAAAAAAGTGGTTACTAAAAATGTAGTTTGGTGGTTGTTATTAAGGTAAAGCCTAATAAGAATCTTAGAGTTTGTTTCAAAAAATAGGTTAAGGTTTAGAAAGATAAAATGTTTACAAATAATCGGACAAAAACTTGTTTTTTTTAAAATAGAAAAATAAGGTAACTTAGAGATTAGATCGTTACACGAAATTTTAATACATGTCATTTTTCTTTTTTTCTTGCATAAACGCAATAAGTGTCATAATATAATAAGTATCAAACTCACGTAATTCTTTAACTAAAATATCCATATTATTATCAAATTCTTCTGAACTTTTCCAGAAAAAAAGGCTTTATATGAGAAAGTACAATCCTGGAATTTTCTACCGCTTATAAGAATTAATTTTTAATAAAAATGTAAAAATCATCTAATAATTATGATAAATATTAACTTCATTACCGTTTGACCTAGTTTGCCAGTTTCGGAACCATATAGTAACTGATTTTTTTTCTTCTGTGACATTTTCAAGATTTTCTTGTTGTTCAAAATATGATCGCAACTTTTAAACTATTTGTGAATCTAAATCTCGTTGTTGGAACCATTTTTCAACTTTAAGAATATTATTATTCATTATTATTATGTTATCAAATTCCGAAAAAAAAAATAATAAAATTATTTATAAAACTTTTTTTACATGTAATGAACAATTGGTTTGAAACGGAACCCGTTTGAAGAGGTATAGGATTAACTTCCACTAACTTCATTATAATAATAATTCCATGATATTAAATTTATTATTATTTGTTCCGTTAAAATGTGAGTTTTATTACCTCCAAATATCCTCCTGGTTTCAAAACTCTAGTCAATTCATTCATAACATCAGGCCAACTGTCTTTAGGAATTGCTGAAAACAAGAATCTTTGGAATATATAATCAAAAGTATCATTTTCAAATGGTAATCCATTTAAAAGATTTGCTTTAACAAAATTAACATTTTGGAGTTTTATTTCTGTTGGTTGAACGGGCGATATGTCCACTCCTGTAATTTGGGTATTAGGATAATCGGATGTCATCTCAAACATCTAGAAACCTGGTCACAACTTTCATTAAATGAATTACTTTGTGAGTAAACTTCGAAAGGAAAAAAAACAAAATTTATGAATTGTAAATATGTACCCAACGTCAAGAACTTTTTGGTTCAAAATATGTTAACGGGTGCTGCAAAATTTTTCTGCCAAATATATCGAAGTAGAAAATGTTGTTGATATAATCTATCCAATTCTTTATCATCATTTAGAAGAGGATTCAACATTATGATATCTTTTACCATTAGAATATCTAAAATCAGAATCTCAGAATCTTCTTTTGCTTTTTTTCAATGTTTTATTTAATTGCCATGTGTTGAAAGAATGATATTGTTATAAGAATATTTATAAACAAAAAAAAAAATATCCGATATGGTTGAAATATATGATATAATATTTATAAACCACAATTTCCGATAATTCCATTTCTCAATGAGCATTATTTCTCCATTTTAATTTTAAGAGTTTGTCCTTTATTTGTTCAAATGTTGAATTTTAATTTATTAAATTACTATTATTATTTCCCTATTCTTTAGATAAGTGAATTGTTATTATCTACTAATGATATATTATTTTATTACTTTTACATTCCGAAATTTGAGATTTTTATTAATAAAATATATAAAATTTATTTTTTAAATTTCATAAAATGATTTTTTTTTTTTATAAAATAAAAAAAAAATTAAACCGATAGAAATCGATCTGTTCTGTATTTTTTTATTCCTTTTTTAGAAAAGAGTTATAACATTTTAAAGTTATATAAATTTATTGTGAAACACGCCATAGTAAATTCTGATGTAACCATTACACTATGCAAACAATCACTTTATACCTCGGATAATGCCTTTTAATTTAATTATTAGAAACAAAATATTTACACAAATACGATTCCTAAGATCTGAAACATTTAATCTGTTTACAATAATAACATTACTTAATTGTTTACTTGATCTAAAAAATGTTCCATATCTTCCATATCTTATTCTAATTGAAGCAATTATAATATTAGATAATTCACATTTTTCCTAGATTACTAAATATTAATAGATATTATTAAATATTATTATACGAGAAAAATATTAATAAAATATTAAACATACCTTTTAAAAGAATTTCAATAGAAATAGCACCTACTATTCAAAGGAACAAAACAGAAAGTCAAAAACAATCAACAAAAAAACACTGGTCGACATTTTCATTCAATTCTGTGAAAAAAGGGAAAATGAAAAGTGAAAAATAAAACCAGGGAAGATATAAAAGAAATGAAAAGAATAAAGAAAAAAGAAGTATTAGAAAAAAAATTCAATACTTACCTCAGCTCCTAATCTCCTCCAAGCCTTATCTTGTCTCGCCAACTTTATTAAATAAAGTTATTATTTTTATCGTTATCTTTCCCTTGCAATTCCTTCAACAAAAATAAAATAAAACAAAAAAGTTAGGTTTACAGAAGAAGCGTCACCACGTAGATATTTCACGTGTATAACATCAAAGAAAAGTTATAATTTACTTAAACTATTTAAGTTTAACACTTTATTGCTTTTCAAAAAAAAAAAATGTAAAAAAAAAAAAATGTAAAAAGAATAAAATTAAATCGTAAACAAAATTACAGATACAAAGAATTTCTACTATAAACCAGGTAAATAACCATTTCTCTCTTTTTCATAGTATTTCGCAATTAAAAATGCTACGTCTAAACTTTGTTCATAATTTAGTCTAGGATCACAATAAGTTTTGTAATTTAGAGCAAGGTCGGCATCAGCAAGTTGCATTGATCCTCCAACACATTCTAGAGGGAAAAGAATTGATTATCATCACCTTCTTCGATATTAAAAAGTCATTAATTACTTTATATTTTCACTTACCAGTTACACCTTCACCTGTAAGCTCAAAATGTACCCCATTCATTTGGCTATTATTGGCTTTATGAGTATGTATCGCTTTTGAAAGTTCCTTTAAAGAAATAAAATGAATCAGACTTTAGTTATGAAAAAAAAATATCAATCAAAAAAAAATTGTAAATTCATACCTCAATTATAGCATTGAAATGACGAGTTTTTACTCCAGATGAAGAATTCTTTGTGCTAATTAATTGAAAAAAAAAAATGGTTGTTCAACTCAATTAAATTAAATAAACTTAGTTAAATCAACTTAAAAAAAAAAAAAAAAAAAAAACTTACTTTCCATGCATTGGGTCACATGCCCAAACTACAACATGACCTGATTCCTTAACTGCTTGGATATGACCTGGCAAGTATTTTTCTACCTATAATTAAATTTATCAAATTTTTAAAATTTTCAACTTAAATGTGTGGAACACGAAAAAGAACACAAAGAAAATGTTTACATTATTTGCTCCGTAACGCGTAATTAATGTCACTTTTCCAATCTCTTTGTTTGGATTTACAATATCCAATAATTCTTTGAGTTCATCAGGTTGCATGCTTGGACCAACCTTAATTCCAATAGGATTTTGTATTCCACGGAAATATTCAACATGTGCGCCATTTAATTGTCGAGTTCTATCACCAACCCATAAGAAATGAGTTCCAACATTAAACCATTTAAGATCACCAGTAGTAGGATCTTTTAATTGACGCGTTAAGCTTTGTTCATATTCAAGTATTAATCCTTCATGTGACATGAATAAATCAACACTATTTAATGAGTTTGAAATAGGAGACAATGGATTGTCTGCACCAATCGTCGTCATGAAATTTAATGCGTCGGTAAGACGATCGACAATTGTCTGATATTCTTGTCGAGTTCCATTAGAACGTACATGATGAAGTGACCATTCTGAGGGATGATGAAGATCTAATAGTTGTTTAAATAAAACTTCAATTGTTACATAAATAAAGTTTATAATTAATATAAAAACTAAATATGAATTAAATTATTTTTACCTGCAAACCCTGAGCTAAGGATTGATCTTACATAATTTAAGGTTGCGGCTGAATGAAAATAAGCACTAGTGAAAATAATAATGAATTAATGAAAATGATAAGAATAATGAAAATAATGAAAATAAATGAGTAATGGAAATATTTTACCTTACAAGACGTTCAGGATCGGGTTTTCTATCATCAAAATCAAATCCATTAACATTATCTCCTCGAAAAGATGGAATATCCTGACCTTGATACTTTTCAAATGGATTTGATCGTGGTTTTGCATATTGACCAGACATTCGAGCAATTCGTACCACCGGAATTCTAGCACCCCAAGTGAGCACCAAGCTCATTTGAAGGAGTACTTTGAGTTTTGACTCTATTGGTTCCTAATTATATATATATAAGTGTGTGTGTGTGTGAAAATAGTATATATGAAATAATTAGAACAAACGAATAGAAATTTAGGAAATTTGAGAAAAATTTTATTAATAATAATTACTTGCGAGCAATAATCAAAAAGTTCAGCACAATCACCACCTTGCAAAAGAAAGGCTTTATTAAGAGCAACTTGTTTTAATTGATTACGAAGTTTTATAATCTGATTAAAAAAATCATGTTAAAGAATAAAGATTAATAATAGATAATTTATTTCAATATTCATCAATCATAGACGATATATCATACCTCTTCAGGTGTCACCATTGGAGGCAAATGGTTTAATTTAGTCAAAACCTTTTTCAAATGTTCTTTATCATCATAATTCACGTCTTGTTTTATTGGTTTCGTTCTCCAAGAAGAGGGAGACCAATTATCTGCAATATAAGTTTTGCTGTTAATACCGTTTGAGCTGTTTTTCCCATTTGTGACGCCATTTCTTAGACTTCCGTTCATTTTTTCGGATTTTTCAGTAGTGGCATGATCTTTAGTCGTGTTTCCAATGATAATAGGGCCGGTCATCCTTGTGATTTATTAATTAATTAAAAAAATATTTTTTTTTTATCTCCGTTCAAAATTTTATTATTATTTTTTTTTCATCTCTTAGTTTTTCTTACATTTTTATAATAAATGATGATCTCCAATTTAAATATAATAAATATAATGTTGATGACTCAGTATGAAACATAGCCGTTTCACTGCCACAAATAGATTAATAGATGATGACAAATAAATTGTTAATTTCGAAAATTTCAAATGCTTCGATATAAATAGTCCAGTATGTGCAAATCAACACTTGTCATTGAAAAATAACAAAATCTTTTTTTTTTCTGATTAAAATGTTTCGACAAAAACAGTTTATTCAAACATTTTGTTCAACAATTAAATTTTTTAATGTAAAACAAATTCTTGGAAAGCGAGGCTTTGTTTCTCAATGCCACGATAATATTAACAAGATTAACTATAATTTCCATATTAATATTAATAATGAAGGCGTTAACTTCTTAGCCACTTCCAATAAAATTATCAATAAAATTATTTGCGCCAAGCCTAAATATAAAGCATTTCAAAGACATTTTTCCACAGTTAATATTGACAATATTGACAGTAATAAAACTCGTGACAATATTGACAATAGTAATAAAATTAGTGATCCACAGCCAGACAACCGCCCAGAAAATCGCGTAGGAAACCACTCCAAAGAATATACAGAAAAGCTCCACCATGATAAAAATACCAACGAAATTCATTCAATTAATGCAAAATTATTCATATCGATGGTTAAAGAAGGTAGAGTAGATGAGGCTGAACAATTCCTTGGAGAAAAAGAACTCTTTCGTAATTTCAACGAAGCAATAGAATTCAAGTATTATTTAAATGGTTTAAGATTACAAATTGAAAATTATGTAAAGGCAGATCAAATAATATTAAAGTATTTGAAGACTAAAGGGATAAAACCACAAGAAATATCAAATTATAATAATTTAACAATTGAATATTATCTTGGAACTAATAATATAGAAGAAATTCATAAATTTTATGAAAGTGAAACAAATCTATCACCAAGAAATGGGTTATATATAGTAGCAGCTTTTAATAAAAATCATAATTTAGAAATGGTAAAACAAGTTTTGAACAAATTTAATTTTAATGAAATAGAAATGGTAGAATATAATAATTTAAGATATTATTTAAATTCAAAAGATTTTGAACAATTATTAGAAATTCTTAGACATCATCCAAATAATGGAATTTTTACATCACATGTAGTAAATTTATTTAGAAGAGGACAAATTAAGTTAGTCATGTTATTATATAATGAAATTATTTCTAATGAAGAAATAAAAGTCAATGAAAATTTTTATGGAGTTTTCATTACAGGATTCTTAAATAAAAATTTATTTACAGAAGCAAATCATATTTGGGAAGTTATGAAAAAAAGAGAATTTAAACCATCTAATAAACTTTATGGACAGATGGTTCATGGATTTGCTAAAAAAAAGACATATTATGATGCAGAAGTTATATGGAATAATATGAAAAAAGATAATATTGAACCAGATGAATTATCTTACGCAGCAATGATAGAATCATATTTTCGAGCTAAAGAGAATCAAAAAGCATATGATTTATTTAAACAAATGAATGAAGATGGTATTATTATTACAAATATTGTTTATAATAGAATGATTAATGGATTATTACTTAATAGAAAAGTAGATGAAGCAATGAAATTATATAAAATGATGATTAAAAAAGGAATAATACCTGATATAATTACATATAATACTTTAATTCGTGGATTATTTAGTGCTCAAAATTATCAATTGACTTGTGATATTTTAAAAGATATGAAAGAATCCAAAGTTATGCCAGATGGTGCAACGTTAAAAATATTATTGGAAAGATTTTTTACTAAAAATGATAAAGGAGGAATTCAAAAAATTATAAATATGTTTCCAGAATTAAAAATTAAACCAGATGAAAAGACATATGGAATTATAATTGATGGTTTAATAAAAAATAATGATTTAGAAGAAGCACATTATGCAATTGAAGAAATGAAAAATAGAGATATTAAAAATAATATTCAAATTAGTACAAGTTTAATGCAATTAAATTTCAAAAAAAGAGATTTTAAATCTGTTCAAAATCTTCATAATGAAATTATTGATTCCGGTCAAAAACCTACAACAGGATATTTTAATGTTTTAATAGGAGGATTTATTAATGGAGGATATGAACCTGAAGCAATAAATTATTATAAAGAAATGTTATCATTTAATATTCACGCAAATGAAACAACGTATAGGACATTAATAAATGGATATATAAAGATGGATAATTTAGATAAAGCAAATGAGATAGTTAAAGAAATGAATAAAGTAAATTATATACCAACAACTCCAGAATTAAAAAAATTAATTGAAACATTAGAAAAAATGAGAAAAAAAACTAAAAACAATTTACAATTAGAGTAGTTTTTAATTTATTATTATTATTATCATTATAAAATTTATAAAATTTTAAATTTTAAAAATTTAAAAATTTAAAAATTTACAGTTTAAATAAATTAAAATTTACAGTTAAAAATAAAGTAAAATAAAGTAAAATATATGTAATGATATTTTAATGTTTAAAATATAAAGTTTTAAATAAATTAAGATAAATTACATATACAGTATATATAACGATAATATTTTAAAATAAATATTTTTTAATTTCTTTAATCGTTATTATTCATCTTACTCTTCCTCGGCATCTTCTTCATCTTCTTCTAAATATAAAGAATCTTCATCCGTAGAACTGATTTCTTCATTATCGTCATTATTATTATTATTATTATTATTATTATCAATTCCGATAATTCTATCCACCCATTCTTGCCCCAATACTTCATTTTCTTTGATTTCATCAAAAATGGACTAAAAAATAAATTTGTAAATAAATTATTTAATCAAGAAAATAAAATTATTCAAATAATTCGTCTTGTCTACCTGTGCATAATAATCTATATCAAATTTAAATGGTCTTCGTCCAAAATTTGCTTCAACAATTTCACCTCTAGACCTTAATCCAATCATTGGATACAAATTTCCTTCAACATTTTCAAAAGCAGTACCTATATGAATTCCATTCTTTGTATAAAATGCTGTTCTATTAAAAAAATTGATACCAACTCCAATAGTATCTCCCGTAGTGAATAAAGGACCGTAAGATACTCCAACTCCTGATGAACTAAATTTCATCCCATCATCTCCATGATATCCAAAAGATTTATAATCCCACCCTAATTAAATAATAAATGCATTTCATAAAAATAAATATATATAAATAAATATATAAAATATATATAAAAATAAATATATATAAAAAAAAAATAAATAAATAAATAAATAAATAATAATAATAATAATTAATCTTGGAATTTTACCTGGTAATCGATTTATAGAAACATTAGGTTCACCAAATCCAACTCCAATATATCTAAATCGAATGTTTTTGAATCTTTTAATGTCAAAATTATCTAAATCGTACGGGGAATATTCTTGGGATATTCTTAATATATTTACCCAAATTCCCCTTTATCAATTATATCTACCTCAAAGTAATATAAACCTGCTTCTATAGGCATAGGATAATTTGCCCTTATTGCTGCTGCGTGTACATTTAACCTTCCTGGTCCTGTTAAATGATATTATATTAATTGTCATTATTATATTGATTGATTGATAATTAAAAAAAAATGAAATTTATATAAATATATATTTACCATTATAAACAACTTTTAATCCATTGGAACAAACATCCAACCAAATTTCTGCATCATCTTTATTTAATACCGTCGGCACGCAAATCGGTTGCAATTCATTTTTTTTATTATATTCTCCTATAGGTGTTTTATTTAGATAAGCTTTATTATATTCTCCTATAGGAGTATTATTTAAATAAGAAGGTATGAAATTCGGAAGTACTTTAGAAGCCATCTCATAAAAGAACAAATCTACATTTTTGTGTTATTTATATACTGTAAAAATTCATTTTTTGAAAATATTCCGATTGGTTGAAAATAATTACTAGAAACTGCGGGTGAAATTACTAAAAATATAATTAAAATAAATCTTTAACAGAAATTTAATTTAAATTCAATTAAAGACATTATACTTGAAATATTCAATTGCTATTTTTTTATGTGCGCGTCTTTAGAAAGATAATAACGTGTATTAAGCCTTTGATATACAAAAAATATTCTTTTGGTAAATTTAAGTTATTTTTGAAATAAATTTATTTTCTATTCTCATTATTTCATTATTTTAAATCTATAGAAATTGGATAAAATACTATTTCACAAATGATTATAATAATAACATTATATCTATACGAATTCTTTTGAATCTTACGTTGTCTTTCCTTAAGATATACAGATTATACAGAAAGATTTTCAAATGAGGAAAACAATTCTAAAGTTTTGAATATAGATAATGAAATTAATGCTATAACAAATAAATGATAAGAGAAATAATTCTTAAGCTTTGAACATAGACGATGAAATTATTACTACAAATGTGTAATGGTTTAATAATGGGAAATAATTGATTTGGTGACATTTCAACATTTAATAAATATTTTTACAAAAGATGTGGTTTAAAAGTTTAAACTTAAGTTAATAATGTTAAATTTAATGATAATAACTTTACTCAAATTAAAATAAATCTATTTTTTAGAAAAATAAATACAAAAAAATAATATAGCATTCATGTTTTCTATTTTTTACGTAATAACCTTTGAAAAAAATGAAAAAAATAAGTGATATTTTTACTCGACAATATGCTTAAACAGAAAAAAAAAAAGTTAAATATCAAATTAATGTAAAAATATAAGAATCATCCAGTTATAAGTTTATGTTGAGGTTTTAATATTAAAGTTTGTCTTTAAAAATTAAAAAAAAAAAAAAAATTATTAATGGTTTAACCCCTTTCGGATTTTTCAAGATAAAGGACATACAATATTTATTACTATTAATAATGTATAATTGCGGTCCTTTTTTCTTTTATTGGGTTATACATCCGTGCTCGAGAACAAGTCTAAATTAGTATTGTAAATATATATTTACATATAATTATGCTGAAATGTTAAAATTAGCAATAAATGACTTTTATTTGGTTTAAGCGTCAGTACGTATAATCACTATAAATTTACCAACTTATATTTCATGTTTATTGTGTTACACGACGTAATTTTATATATCGATCATAAAAAAAAAAATGATATTTTCATTAAAGACGTAAAGATAAGTGTTTCATAATTATTCATTTATCTATATGCACAACACGCAATCTCATATATAATCTCATATATACTATCTCATTTAAATAATGTATAAATAGTAATTCTTTGTTTGAGAAAAAACTTTTAATTTTTCATTATTATAATTATCACAGCGAAATATCGTGACTATTCTCGTGAATGAACGCATTTAAGTTAAAAGCTGTCAAAATTGAACAAATTAGCTAACAAAGACTATGGGGAAGATATAAATAAAAACTGTGAAAGGATAAATTATATACAAATTTCTGCATCAAAAAAATTTTAAGTAAAAAACCATATTAAAAAATTAAATAAAAATAAATAAATAACCAACCGGATATTAGATAAATTAAAAAAAAATTAATGTCACATTATAAGGAAATAAATTAAATATAACGCGAAATTGTTGTACAGCATCAAGATATTTTTACAACGCCAGACCTCTTTCTAATATACGAGATTTATTGGCGAATAAATAACAACAATTAAAACAATTAAAAAATTCATTTCATATTGTTCTTTCTCTTGCCTTTTTAGTTTGAGTCATCGTAAATAATTTATTTTTTGCGCGATATTTCAAATTTTATAACTTTTATTTTTATTAATGTAATGTGATTATGTGATTTTTGATAATTATAATAAAATAAAATAAGTCACATCTTTAGATCCAATTGACAAGAACTAAATTGGAACTCGAATACTTTTTTTATATATTCTCATAACCTTCTTTCATATGCTTTTCTATAATCCCTACATATATAATTATATTATATTTTACTGTAAATTTTTTATGTTTTTATACTTTATTCACATATATTAAATACTATTTATATTTTACTATACTTTACTCAAACATACTGTACATTTTTATAATACTTTATTATAATACTTTATATTATTATTATAATTATACACTTTAAATATATTCTATCTACCTGTCTTATTATTTAGTAAAACTTTGTAAAATCCGTTGATGCGGCTTTTCCTTGGTTTATGCAGTGAACTACATCTTCCAACATCTTTGGAGCATTATGTTATTTTTAATGACACAACAATTACGGTTCATTTAATGAATGAAATGAGATAATAAAATAGTGGGAAGAGAAGAAGAAAAGGAAAAAAAAAAAGAAAAAAAAAATTTTTTTTTTTTGGATATTATGAATATTAATAAATATGTTGAAATTATATATTATATGATCTGTAATAGATAAGTCGAAATAAAATTTTAGGTTTTGAGAAACAATAACAACATAATTATTATATTTATTATATATGCATTCCTTTTTTTGTTTTCCAAATATATTTGTAATATTTATTATGTACTGGTCATAGTACCTGAGTATATTATTTTAAAGCAAGTTTAAAAAGAGTGACTATTTTTGTATACTATGAATGAATGTTAATAAATTTTTGAGCCAATAAAATCGAAATTTTTCATAAAAATCCGAGGATTTTGAACTAGACGTTATTTATATTGTGAAATTATAAATATAAAAAAAAAAAAAAAAAATTTTTATCCGGGGATCAGGAATTAAGTTAGGGTTAAGGTTGCTCAGGGAATTATGTAATTTTGCCTTTTTGGTGATTTTCTCTCCAAATTATAAATTAATATATAAATACCAAGGGGGGTCATCCCAGGTCTCGGTTTTTCAAATGTAAATTTACTTAAATAGGTTATATGTATGAACTTACAAATAAACCATAGCTATTTAAAAACATATTAATAAATATACGTAATTGTTCACTAGTTTAACTTTCATTGAAGTGCATTTAACAGTGGTTAAGGTTTATATACTAAATATAAATATATATTAAAAAATATACTAAATATACCAAATATATTAAATATACTAAATTACGTAATCAAAGACGATCTCTTGGTGATTGGTCATATATTCTATTCTTTTTGCTAATTCTATTTTATATAAATTTAAAATATATTAAAATATTAAATAATTTATAAACTTAATTTATTTGTATTATAGCTTATTATACTTTAATATATATTGATTTTTAATCGATATTATCTGATTTGTAGTTACAACAAATCTTTGGTTTGTTTATTAAATAATCCGCCTTCACAGACGAACGCATAGTTATATAATAGTTTCATTATTTTATTCTATTGGTTTTTTTTTGTACTCTCTTACGCAATTAATGTTACGAAACACGAAAATATGCGTTCCTTTTGGAAAATATTTTGTTGACTCATCCTTTTCTTCCTGATACGATCTTTATCAAAGTGTTCGTCTCCGACTTTCTGTTATATCGAATCTTTCAACTAACCGAATTATATTTGTAAGTTGTCTATCTAATGCAATATATTAACGCCTTTATAATTTTTATTTATATTTATTTATTTTTTATATATTTATTTATTTATTTATTTATTTATTTATTTATTTATTCATAGTTTCATTCTTCTTTTATTTATTTCGTTTTCTTTTTTCATCATGATTTTTGTCTTATGAATTTATTTAAATATATGTTTTGTATTTTTTTTTTTTTGTATTCTGTTTTTAAACGCTAAATTGTCATTAATAAAAGTTTTTCACATGATTCATGTATTCATTCATATATTTATTTAATTTATATGATTTATTCAGCTAAATGAAGCAAATATTGGTTAAATAATCAATAAGCGCCAAGCGGTTTATTCCGAAAGAAAAATATATATTTTCTTTACACCAAAAAGAGAAAATTGATACTATAATTCTGTAAATCGCCAATGAATAAAGTTACACGGAATTTTAACGTTTATGGATCTTGATTACATGCGTTTTATCACTATAAAATAATAATTAAGAACGATAACGTAATTATTATAATTACATAATATATAGTCATTCAATGCACAGCAATCTACGATTCACATGATTTCGTAATTTTAAATATAGACGTCCCTAAAAACTTAAGATTTAATAGATTTAATAGATTTAATAGGTAAAAGTGATGATTATTATTATGTCTACTTTAATTGTATAATTCTAAAAAAAAATTAATTATATACATATCAATATCAGTGCTTGCAAAGTCAGAAATGTTTAGATTCTGAATAAAAGATTGTGAAACAATTAGAACAAAATTATCCAGAAACACAAACAATTTTTGTATAGTAAAATATATTTGAGATAATAATCAACAATTCTTTTATTTATCAAATTAATAAACAATAAAAGAGATTTTCTATTTTGTCCTAAAAATTTAGCCAAATTATTATTTCAATCCAATATTTTTTTTTATCAATATAATTATCTACCTGTATTTTACCAGGAACAAACCTCTGCAAAAAAAAAATATCACAATGCATAGATAAATATTTATTTATTTTAAACAAAGTCAGAATAACTCTTCAGGGTGTAAAAAAATGCAGCTAATTACATTCAATGGGTAAAAACTGTTGAAAGACATTTTTAAAGATAGTAAAAATTACTTTGAAAATAATTAATAAACTTAACTTGGTCATTTAACATCATTGGCTGAATATTCCAAATATAGAAGTAAGGCAGTAAATAAAGTTTATAATTTTCATAAATTTTATATTAAAATATTAAAATATTAATACAATTTAACCCAAGATGTCTTTAAATTGTTCAAAGAGAGAAAACTAATACATTGTCAATAATTGGAAACTCAATATATAAATATATATAATATATAATTTGACTTTATTATAAAAGAAAAATAATATTATGTATGCACGAACGACTTTGAATAAAATCGAAAATAATAAAATAAAAGTAATAGAAGAATAAAAAAAAAAAGATAAATGAGCAAGCATAAAATAATAAAGGAACAATAACAGTTAAAAAAAAAGGTTTGGGAAAGAAAATTCAACAATTATATAAAATTACTAGGAGAAACTCGTAAACATAAATTTTGTGTCTATATAATGGTTTTTCGATAAATAAAATAATTGATTTGTTTCAATTAACATTTACGATAAAAGAAAGGATTTTTTTTTCAAATACAATATAAAGTACAATAAATGAAATATAAAATAATATAAAGATTTTTAATTATTTTTGAAAGCGAAAAATTTTCCATCTTTATAAGAAATATATTATTTTTTAAAACAACGAACGGAAAATAAAACATAAAAATGATAATATACGTAAGAATAACGAAATGCGAATTGTAAAGGATAATAAAATTATGAAGAAGAAAGGGAAATTTGTGATCAAATATTTGCAGATAAGAAAGAGCAGATATTCGTGTGTTATCATTATAATAAATTGGTAGTGTAATTGTAATTGGACTTAAAATGTGAAAACAAACAACAAAGATAACGAATCATGGATATAATAAGAAAAAAATAAATATATTATTAATTTTTAAAAAATTTTATGGAAAAAATGGTAATACAGATGTGAGCAGCACATTACGATAAGATAAACGAATACTATTTGCTATTTAACAAAGTAATAAGGAAAAAATTAATAATAAATTTCATTAATAGTAAATTAATGAGAAATAACATTTATATACCAATTTTTCCAATTTCATAAATTTAATATACAATATATATTCTGTTTCATCATTTTAATGAGTTAAAAACAGGAAAATAAGAATTCATAAAACTTAATCATAATTCTGATAGTTCTTAATAACTACCGATTCTTAAGTTAGGCTTTCTTTGGAATTTTCGATTGAGGGAGAAAGTGTAAAAAAGAAGGAATATTTATAACAAAATAATTATTGTAAATATGTTTGGAAGATACTTTTTAAATACAACAAATAATTGTGATAAAAATTTTTCATAAGTGATATCACGAAAAATTTATCACCCGAATTAATTAAATATTAATATTATTATTATGATAATTATATTTAATATATGAAATATATGTTATTATAATAATAAAATTAATATATATGATGTATGTTATATACTTATGATTTATATAAATTTTCTTTCAATAATCCCAATTTCATGAGACCCAGTGTCATATTATGTAAGCGAATCGCAGATCTACTAATCCTATCCACGTGCCACGGTAAAGAAATTTTTTCGTGAAAAGAATATCAAGTCCAGAGAAAGAACAGGATCTTTTTTTAAAGCCTCATTACTATTTTCATACTCATTTAGCCTCTTTGTTTGTTTTAATCAAATATTCTACTCCATATATATTATAATTCAAATAGTTTTGTCGTGCCAAATTTTTTATTAATTACTGGATCATTTGGCGCGAATGAAGTTTACATCTGATTATTTTGGAACTTGTATGAATTGATTATATATTTAACCTAATATGTGCATCGCGCTTTTATGAAATTGAATATTTTATTAAAGAAGACTTGATATTATTATTTTTAGTTGAAAGAGATATCAAAAATTGACAGAAAATTAAATAATAAACATATAAAAGATGAGATAAAATTTAAAATAATTAAATATACATAAAAGTTTTATTTAAATTGAGTCCTTAAGAATGATATATTTCAGCTTAAAAAAAAATTTAGATAATAATTATAGTAATTGAATTTAGTTATTCTTTATTCTTTTATTTGTTTGTCGCATAATTGTTTCATATATTCCTATATTAGAATCATATTCTTGCTATATCAAAATTTGGAAATTTATAAGGGAAATATCTTTGCAACTTTCCCGCATTCTCTTTTAACTCCTTTTTCTTCTCCATAGTAGCTCTTCTTTTTCTATTTCTTACTAACTTCTTCAATTTTTCAAAACTTTTCAACAAATCAAACATATTTTCATAATAACTTGATTTTAAATTTTGTGAATCCTTGAAGTCATAACCCTTATATGCCATATGCATTAATTTATTAACGTAGTAATCTTGAAATTGTAACACTTCGGTCTGATAATATTGTTCAAAATGTAGCATCAATTCTAATTTTATTAGTTCACATGTGAAAAAGTCAAATAAGTTAGCACGATTTAATATTTCATTTATTTGAGCAGAGGTAAAGTCATAATGTGTAGAAAAGTAATTTGAGCAGATAATTTCTTCGATTTCTTTTACTGAGAATCTTAAATGTTTTGGGAGTTTATCAGGAATCAAATTTTCTCGATGAGCACGTTTGTTGAAATATATTACCTCAACTATTTCCATTATCGATAATAGTAAAGCTTTATCGAGCGAAGTAAAATGTGGTTGATACATTCTCTCTGGAGGAAATAAAAATTCTTCATATTTGACTGATTCACATTTGAGTGGTTCACCTTTGATGACTGACTCGACTTGTTCACATTTGACGACTGGTTTGAGTTGCTCACATTTGACGACGGGTTCGAATTTAATGACAGGTGAATGCTTACTAATGGATTCTCGTTTAAATTTTTGCTCGTATGTGTTTTTTGCAATATTAGATGTAGTTATTGATTCTTGTTTGTTCATGGAATACCTAAGCGCAGCTTCAGGTTCAAACATTTGATATAGTTATTTTTATGGAGTTAATAATTTTACGAATAACCTTATGTGTATATATACTGTTTTAAGCATTCATTGTTTATAGACAATACAATAAAACATTAACAAAATCTGCAATTTAATAAAACAACTATCTTATCTTGTTAAATAAGGTAAATATTCATTTCCAATTGTCTTAAGAATTGAAAACTGCGTATATCTATTTCTCCAATGAAAAGAACACTGATATCCTGCAAATAGCAAATTTTTACATATTAAAATGTACATTTTTAAAGAGACTAGAAATTGTGAATAAATATAATATTATAAATATAAATATCAATATTTTAAATAATATAATCATTTGATCACTTTCATTAATCATTGAATTCTTTAAATACTTTGTCATAAGACATGATTCCAACATAAATTTTAAGAAATTTGGATAATAGTTTAAATTTCCACCAATTTAAAGTTTCTTCTTGGTCATAATATTTACAATAAAATTTTCAAATAGGCGTTAAAGATCTAGTAAATAAGTTATAGGTATTAAAACTGATTTGCATTAATTTGAATGATCCAGTTATACATTTATTTTTAAAGAACTTATGGCAAAGGTAAGATAACAATCTTGGAGATATTAGTTGGATTATAAATAATATTGTATGTATAGTACAATAAATAATAAATATAATAAATATAATAAATATAAAATATTGATACTGATATTTGTAATTTATCTGTTGTAACTTTTATTCAAAAAGGAAAGGGAGTCTAGTAATGTGATCTCTCATAAAAATACATATGAAAATCTGTGATTAGAAAGATTAGAGAACGATACAATAATAATACAAGTAATAATATAAAAAGTAATAATACAATAATCATGCAACAAATATTAATATCAATAAGAAATATTCATATAACTATTTTATAAAGATGTAACATTTATTTGCTTGAATTATAAGAAAAACAGCCGCTTTTTTTTGTAAGATGAGACCCAAAATCATCTTTGTATTTATACTTGCTATTAAAAAAATATTAAATCAATGTAGCTAGAACTTCAAAAATACATCGCCAACTATACAAAAAGTTATTTGTTTCTTCTTTCCTTCAATCAACAGCAAGCGGTCTAAAAATTCCAGCGAAGTAGTTGATATCTGATAATTGTAGATAAAAATCAACCCATTTTTATATGACTATATCATAATATAAATTTATTATAATTTCATACAATTAATATTTTTTGAAGAGTTGAATTTCTCTTTTTGTATTCTCGCGTCATCATAATAATACATATTTAATGAATCATCTTTTTAAGAATTCAAAATATACTTTCGCAATTCTGTATTATCAAACGCGTTTGTCCCTATTTTATTTAAATGTATTGTTTCTTGTCGTGAGAGTTTAAATGTGACTATTGTTTCGAAAAATTATAAAATTTCTAATGATCGTGTATTGTAACTGAGTGTTTCTCAAGTCTGTTCAATAATCAAGCCTATTTTTCATTAAATGAAAACAATACGCAAATATGTTTAAAAAGAAGCAAGTTTTTAAAGTGTAATTTAAAAAAAATTCCTTAAAAATGTCAGTAAATGAAAAAACAATTACTGAGACACTTGAAAAAAGAAAAGATGAAAAATGCACCTTTTACGATAAAAAGGCGACCGAAGATGTGACTCCAGAAAATGAGATTCAATTCTTTAATGAAAATATCTCAAATGCTAATGTACACAGACAAATAGGTATCCACGAAAAAATTACAAAAAAGAAAAAAAATCAGTAATAAACTTAACATAATACCAATTACTACAAGTTTTAACCCTCGAAAGCTTTAGCAAACTGTTTGAATATATTTATAGTGATTCTTGAAAAAAGATTTTGAAATTCACACTTAAAAAAAGATTCGCATCACATTTGTTGAAGAATTAAAAAATTTATATAATGAAAAATATTTTTTCTTTTTTACAAACACCACGATCATGTAGCTTAGTTCATTGGTTCATCATAATTTAGAATCTTTACAAAACAAAAAAATTTACATAATCACTTATAAATCATCAACTAAAATTTTTGTGTAACACACGTTGAACGAAACTTTGCAATATAACCAATTTTTATTATCCTTTTAATTAAAGTACCTGGAAACTTTAAACCATATTAATCATATTGGTGTTGTTAGGATATTGTTAAAAAACCTTCTTTTCTAACTTGATCTGTTTCTATTTTTTTTTTTTAATTTATTTATTTTAATTCATTTTATCAATAATCTTTCTTTAATTTTATAATTATTGTTATTATTATTTGTAACATGTAATAGTTAATTTTAATGGTTTATAAATAGAAATTATTAAGTTATTTTTGTAATAGTTCTCAAATTAATGACAAGTGTCTTGATATTGAGTATATTTGATAATGTCTTCAAAGTGAAGACCATATAAATTAATCAAAGATCTTGGCTTCAAAATGAAGACAGAAATTTTATAGTGAGCATATAAGCAAATAAAATTATAATATATAATTAAAGTAATTAAATTGAATAATCATTTCACGATATGATGTTATGCAATTTAATATTTATTTTATAATTTATTTTTTATACGGTGGCAATCAAAAGTATTGCATTACTTGGACAAAGATTTTCTAATTTTGATATCTTGTGATTACTACAATATTTATTTAATGGATCTGTCAAACTTTATATTTGTCATCTGCATCATCTCTTTTTTATTTATTTTGAAAATTCATTCAAAAATAAAAATATTTTTCAAAACCCGTGATACATTTCTTTTGATCATTTTGAAAAATAAACATAAACAATAAACATTAAATTTTTCTCCTTCTAAACATACCATGTAGTACATATAAAAAGGATACCTTATGGCATGCTCTACTATAAATTTTTTTTTAAACCATCCATGATATATTTATCTAAAGAAAAGGAGAAATCTATTGATCACTCTACTATTATTAATTGTTCTACTACAGATAATCACTGGTCAAAATAGGGAATATCATATACCTATCGAGAACTTGATAGATATACAATAAGTGTCTGATATTAACAATTATGTAATATATCAGGCATCCAATTGGTGAGATCAAAATGTAGAAGTTTGGACACTTATCGAGCCCATATCAGTTTCATACTGGTGTCACCGGTAGTTTTTAGTTTCCTCAAGAACAACCTAGTAGAGTGACTTAATGGTTCTTTTAAGGAGTTTATAGTTCTTTTCTAAAGGTAAGACTGTTGCTTTATTATTTCAGAAGGTACCACTGATTCAATTATTTTAGAAAGGGAATCAGACCTTTCATCCAATTTATTCCAATATCTTTTCAAGTTCATCATCATCTTTAGTATTAATATGCATCCATTAATCATCTTTAGTATTAATATACATCCATTAATCATCTTTTTAATTTTATCAACTTTAAATATTATTTTCAATTATTCAGGTTAATTATTATTCCAAGTTCAGGATTTTTTTATAATAGTTTATAATTAATTTCATTAACTCAAGAATAATAATATTATACAATTATATAATCAAGTATTTAATTCCATAGTATCTATTATTCCTTTGTTAACTACATATTGTATCATTTAATAATTATTTTTATAATTTATATTTATATTTCCAATATTTAT